TCCGGTCAGAAATGGCGTTGTTATGGGCTGTTCCGTTTTGAATCTGGGTATTATTAGGGTTGACGCTTGTTCTTGGACTATATTTTGAAATTATTTTGGTTTTTAGCTTCATTTTGCTTGAATCACCGTATTTTCTCCAACATCACCGCCCATTTATATGCATCAATATTGTATTTGGGCTTTGAAAGTTTTTCTTTTCTGAACAGTTTTAGCCGCTAAAGATCGATAGAACTACCAAAAACCACGTAAGACATAAGCCTTCTCCTTTCGATGTGCTTAAAAAGATAGAATCTGGTGCTATGTTATAGAAAATCTTTTTTTTCCTCTTTTCCTTTACCAGGTTGCAATATTTACCCAAAAATAGGCAAAAAAATTGCGAGACCTCTCTTAGGACTTCCACACCCTCCCCACCCAACGCGTCAGCAATTATTTACCCGGCGATGAAACGATTTTGGACCTTCCGAGGGTAAAGAAGAGATCCTCTCCCCCACCCCATGAAAATGAGCCCACATTTATTTCACGCATCGAATAGAAGGGGATGAGGCCTTCCTTCCACCTTTCCCGGGGGGTGGGGTGGTGGGTAGCTAAGGGAGGGTGAGCTTCAGCTAAGGGCCGATATGGATTTGAGTCCATTCGTCCCGCATGCCAATGGATCCCACCTATAATTATGAGACGGCATCCAGGATTGGGGGCCCTCTCTTCCGTATGTCGGGGGGAAACGCTTGGTTTGTCTGGGGTTTACAAGAGGTGAGGGTTGTACCCCAATCTGGGCCCGCTTCATGGGGCTCAGATGTGGCATAGGTGACGAGGACCCGACCGGCTAGTCAAAGTGTTTTGACCATTGTATTGTTTAAAATACGCGTGAGCATATATCATTGTGTTTTAGTCGGTTTTGAGGCGATTTGCGTACTCATCGAATTTAAGCAGCTTCATGCTAATTTTTGGCCGTTTCCCTGCTCCTCGGCTATCGCATGTCCTTTTCTACAAATATATCGATCCAAAAAGCCGATATAATGCCTTGCTTACGTTGTGAACTCCCCAAAATTCCTTACAATCTACAACTTTTACCGATCCTCGAACCAACACCCCAAAACCCAGCTCACCTCACCCAACGAATTTAAAATGCGCCCTTTCTAAGGTGGCTGGAAACGGCCTGGGGACGTTAAAAATGTGTAGGAATGTGACGGGGGGCCGCCATGGACCCGAATTGTTCTTGTGCGCCGTGGCGTGGGGTTTCGTGAGAAAATTTGGGTGCCAGTGGCCGGGGCGGACTGCTCGGTGTGCGCCGAAAATGTTCATATTCAGTGGTTTTGCCGTTTTAATAGAATTTCGGTGTATAGTTCTAATAATTCTAAAATTCTGGAATTTTTGATAATATAATATATTTTAAATTCTTTTTAGAAGCGTGAGCCTTTCTGATACCAATGCCGGTATATTTAATGTGGAAAATATAACTTTTTCCATATTATTGTAGGTGAGCAGTCCCGGAGCAACGTATTAAAAATCCCTAAAATACTTCTTTTAGCCCGAGACAGACACGATTTATTTGTCTTTATATATATTAGCATGTATACTTTTATTTAAGCTTGGATACGACCATCACTGCCCTTTACATCCCATTCGATGTCTCCCTCAAAGCCGTTCGCTATTCGTTGCTAGCCGATAAATAAAGCCAGCTCAAAGCCATCTGTCGGTCCGATCACATCGCCTACCTGCCATTTTTCAAGGGGGCCGATGAGGTGCCAAAGGGGCTCTCCTTGGACACCCGCCAGTGTATTCTTTTTTCTTAGGACCCCGGAACAAGGAACTAGACAAGTGTGTGCGTTGTTGTTGCGTGGGTTGAAACAAATCACGATGCAAGTTGCGAGAATTTGGGCGGGCAGCCTGGGGGCACGTTATAGGATATCTGTGTGAACGGCCTCGAGGGAGTTCGGGATTGGTTCTAGATTTGCCCGATCCCCCGCCCACGCCGGGGGTAGTGCGATGTCTTAATACAAAACTTAGTATCATTTTATTTTCTATTCGAGACTCCTAGTTTTTACACCTTCAAAATTTGCATATTTCACTTTGGCGCACGAAATAAATCAAAAACTACAAAAATAATTTCACCTATACACTAAGCCCAACCACCCACCTGTGTCTGGCCACAACCACACGCACACACAACCCATCGGGTGCCCCTAAAATTTGCATTTGCGGTGACCCGAACCTCCCCCTAGGGCCCAACCCTTGTATGTGTATGGCTGATCCAGCCTGTAAACAGTACTGAGCCGGGTGGCCCGTTCCCTATACCGCATCCCCTACCCCCTTCGAATACACGCAAATCTTGACGCCACCACTTTATAACCGACTTCTACTTATCTGCTCCAGAACCTAAAAATATCTAAAAACTAAAACATCTGCAAGCCCAAGTTTCTCCCTGCCTAAAAAAGACCCACTCCTAGACCCCCCCCCCCCTCGGCAATTCCCAAGCCACTTCAGCTTTTTTGAAAAGCCGCTTTCCACGCGCTTTTGGAGGGGGGAGACTAGCGATGCGAAGTGGGTGAAATGAGCCCCCGAATATTCGTGGGATTCTCCCAGGCATTAGGCCCACCCTTATGCCCCAAAGCGGCCAGGGCTTTGGCTGATAGTGATTCCGTGAGGCATTTCAAATACTCCCGATCGATTCGCGGTTGGGCCGAAGCTGCCCAGTCACTCTATTACCGATAAGATATCAGGAATCGCGGCCCGTGGGTGGGCCCTACAAGAAAAGGGTAAGGCCGGGCATTGGGTTGTTGGTCATCACTTTCACAACTGCTTCAACTTTTCTGTGCCCAGAAAATGTTGTATTAATTTCATTGTAAATGTAATTTATTAATTTATTTGTTGTATTGTAATCTAAAGCTCATTCTTTTGTAAGTTATCTAATTAACATATTTTCGCAAATACATACTGTTGATTAGGTCACAAAATACATCTTGGGAGATAGAGGGGGGGGGGCTGCCATAAAATTCATACTCTTCCCACAGGACTACGCAAAAGGCACCCGCCAACTTTTTTTTGGGAATTCCGGTAGGGCTTCTCGAAACCCACCTTGGCCATGGAAAAATTGTTTTGTAACTTTTGAAAAAATTACTACGCAGATGACCATAGATTCTTTCGTATTTCCTATTTCTGTTTTCGAATTGAACTAACCACACCCTATAATAATTTTCGACCAATTACCGTTCTCTATTATCCACTTAGTATCTATATTTTGCCCTAAACGACCAACCCTATCTCGTTTGACCCCGGAAACACAATATTTGCACCCCTAGGGGTCCATTGAGACCTACACCCAACGTATCCCCCCAACTCTTTGCCACTCCCCGAGCAATTGGCACTCATTTCTTGGGCATAAATCCTCCCCACTTCAGATCCCCAGCTATTTGCCTATCGCCTAATCCATACAAACACACCGAAACTTATCCGTACGTGGTGTGGCCGTTTTTTGGCAGGCACGTTGCCCTATCCATTCCCGCCTTCATTTGTTGGCCTGCCGTTGATTTTTCCCACCCAGAATTGTGGTGTCTGGGTTTTTAAAATTTTTTAGCCACATGATCGAGACTGGGCTTTTCTTTTCTTTGAAAGCCGCGCTGAACTCGTTCCTAGACATGTTAGTGCTTATGTTTTGGCGTCGAAACGGATGTCTTCCATGCTTTCGGTGATCCTTGGGCCCGACAACTGTTCTCGTCGCTCATCATGATGGCCGAATTGATGTTTTCGTGTGGGGGGAAAGACTAAGGGGAAAGATATGGTTGTATGGGCCATCGGGCTTGAACACTTGTTGACACCTGTTCCGTTGCTACGATCATTCATATCATGGCTGCAGATGCGGTTTGCAGGACGGAATGCTGGGTTTCGGATTTATCGGCTTAGAAACCTGAAATTTCACGATTGAAATAGTATATTTCTAAATACACAAAATCTTTAAATTTTTGGGTCGGCCGAAATCCCGGAAATTGGTGGGTAAATTTCACGATTTTAACCAATTCTCTCGGCTTTTCACCTCCAAAAATTGTTTAAAACTAAATAAGGTTCTAAGGCCAGACATAATCAAATTGGATTTGCATATTTTGCGGCTATAATTTGAATTTTCAAATTTAAAACCTTGTAGGATAGTAAAAAAAAATTATAAAGTACGATCCTAGCGCCTATCTCCCGGCTCTCCGCCTGACTCACCTAGCTTCACCCTCCCCTTCGTTACAATTACTTTCCTTCCGGTGCCTCACCATGGTATTTCGGCGCGATGTATTGTTACGCTACGCGCCGGAACCACCTCGACCTCCCGCACCAACTTGAACCAAAATTTTCGCACATTCGGCCCACCACACTCATGTAGCATCCCAGCGCGGCTGATTCATCGCCCCAAACCGCAGGGGAGGGCCGGGCCCCGAAAATACGCATCCTAGCCACAAGATGTGTTGTGCATGATCGATTCCATTTCAGTTCAATTATGGCGTGTGCCTCAGGATAAAAGAGTGTCGGGTGTAAGGTGTTGTTTACTGGTTCTGATTCGCTAGCGGGGGGGAGAGAATTTCACCGCGGGGCAAATTTTTTTGTTGATAGTTTCTCCTTACGCATATTTTCGACATTATTCTAACCGAAATTCACATTAAGCATATTTTTATTGCTCTGCTAACTCACGTTGAAACCTCCCGAAAGAAATACCAAAAATGGTGAAAGACCCGATAAATTGAATTTTCGCCTTAGATAAACCCCCCGCTAAGCAACAAGGACCTATTTATAACAGTCTGGAGCTAACCAATTAATTTGCAGAATCACCATAATCATAAGATGGCGGCCTTTAAGGACTTATAGATACTCCTGACCTTCTTCCTTCTAAAACCTCGATTTTACGATAGTCTCTTTCAACATGACCCCAAATTTCCCATCATTAACATGCCTTCCCGATTCTCTCCACCTATTCTTCTCTGCCTTAACACCCCATAAATCAACGGAATTCTGCTTTTAGTAATACCATGTGGGCCCTACTGACATTACTGCTCCTTCCGATCGTCGATGGCGCACCTGCATACGGTAATGAACGCTTCCCGGATTATAAGGAAGACTACCGGGAATTCACTGTCAAGGACCCCTACCAGCGAAACAACTACCCCGGCAACTACATGCAGCAGCCAGGTTTGAAACATCTAACAACCTCCATCAGTTCCATTTTCAGCGGCCCACATTTTTCCAAACCATACACGATGCGTCCAGGAGTGTGAGGCACCCTGTCTCCCTTCGGCCGTTTACCTCAACGACGTAGCGACCAAGATGTACTCTTGTACTCGCTTGAAGCCGAAGAAGGTACAGAAGCTCTTAATTTTATTAAAACAATCGGTTTCAGGATACCCTGATTGCGTCCATTTGGGGCAACAGCTTCTACAAGACGCTTGTCGTACTCGGGGCTATTGTACTGGTCGTACTGTAAGGTTTTACTTGAATTTCCAAAAATTATTTTTTCCAGCGGCCTTCTCACACTGGCCTTCTGCTGTTCGTACTGTTGTCGAGCCTCGTCAAACAGTTCGAGAGGTTCTTCGAAAGATGCCCTAAACCCGAGGGATGACGATGGAGAGTTTCGGTATGTTAATTACCCTTAGTAGCTGATAGAAATCCTATGATAATCAAAATTTACCATTTAACAGCGAGTGGCGGGCGCTGCCGACAGTAAGGGTGTCCATCGCCGAATAAAACACTGTACGGCACGGCACTAAGAAACGAAGACAGATCGAAAAATCGGAGATTTACCTTCAAAAATGCTAGCAATTTTCTAAAATCCGATTTTTCCTTCTTAACTACTCTAAAACCGAACGCTCAGTTAGAACCCCACTCGGACCAAACCCTTTTTTTGTTCTCCACCCCGTGATATCGAATTCGGGGTTCACGCACCAGCGCTTCAGACGTTCCCCCACACCCCTCAATGGTCACCCAAAAACCAATCTTCACCTCAGGTATCGGTGTTGGAGACAATCTCCACCTTCTACCCTCTCAACTTTCACTTCTGAACAACCATTTTTGGGTTCCTTCTTTCTATCCAAACGTGTCGTGGCCCCCTCCAAGATTTGTAGTTCCAAAAGTTACAGAAGATTTGGCTAAAAAACAGCTTCGGATAGCTTGACCAAGACGAACTGCGAATAGCTGGAGCTTGCGGCTTCTCATTTCATACTATCAGGACACGATAGCATGACCATTATCGTCTCCTTGAGTTTCAGCATTGTATTGTGAACTTTAAACATTGATATTAATAGTTTATACAATGATTTTAGGGAATACATGCCGGAGGATACTACGTCCCTGAAACGCGAATTCCGACGACCGCCACGCTCAACACTGGCCGTCTGAGCTGTTCGGTGTAATACCTAACTCCACATCCCAAATCTTCCATGCAACGGGTCATTGCTATCATTTCGAAAAGATTGTTCTCGCAGAGTATTTCCCGAAATGGGTTTAGTACGCCAAAAACGTCGCCGTTTATCCTCTTTACTGTGCTCAAGGTTCTTGGTCGAAAATTAGCATCTTGGTCTTAACTATCTTGATGTGGGTTGATTGCTTTGTGTAACTAGAGCATCAAACCAATGTTTTAGCCGTATACTACGAAAAACAAGCCCTAAGAAACTGGAATTCAGAATGCCGCTCCCCCACCCTGATTTCTCATCTCATTCAGTGTTGTGAGCCGCCCAAAAACGGAACCTTTAGTTGTCCATTTTTCTTTTTTTTACTGTATTTTTGTACCTATGGGTATCCCCGAGCCGACTTTGTTTCACCCCATCAAAATGTGATCACGCAACGCGTGCTGTCCACCCGCGCCATCCGGAATCCTACTGATCTTACCATAGAACCCAGTCCTTTTCCCTCCCGAACACAGCCCATTGCCTTCTATCGTATCTCGCTTTCTTTTGTGCCCAATTTTTCGCCGCGTTTATTCTGCTCGCGATAAACAATGAAAGTAAGGTGGTATGACAGGTCAAATGAAAGACACCTCAACAGACACCTTATCGCTTCCGCACCTCGAAACAATCGATTGCCAAAGAATGGGCCTTCCGGTCTGCACGATAATTTTTGGATCGTTATTCGTTATTGGGTTGATCGCATGCTGTGGAGTGGTTTCTTATGTGTTGCAACGACATAAAGAGGAAACGGAAAAGCATGTAGAGGAGAAAAAGGTATGTTAAGCACAGATCCTGAGATTGCTTCCATTTTGAAGGATGGCTTGGCAGAAGCACTAGTAAGGCGGGATCCAGAACCACCAAGGAGTCCGCTTGGGAAGATCGAAATTTCGGTAGACTACGATGAATTAGCCTGATTGGATTTTATGCAATAAATTTGCACGTATATATTTGGATATATTTTTAGTGCAATTCATGTTTATTCTATTCATGAAGTAAAGCACAAAAAAGTAAGTAAATGAAAGACACGAGATCTCAAAAATTAAGGCAGCTGTGTAAAACTAGCGATATGAGGTTTTGGGCAAAGTTTTGTATAGTAGCACCTATAAGAACCAACAAGTAAGTGAAATAACAAGATCTATTTCAATGAGCTGCTCCAGTTGACTTGTCCTGGGACACGCCGGATCTTGTTTTTGTCGGGGTCACCGGTATCCTGAAAAATTATTTTATGTCTCTGTTTCCGCTACTAAATTATAATTACTTAAACTACATACCCAAAGACACACAACGAAGCTGGCCGGTATCCACACAAAAAGTGATATAACCACAATGATAACTAAATAAAAAATATTGTGAGTGATAAACAGCAAACTTCACCAGCAATATTAGATTTAAAGAAGAGCTTCCAGTTCGAGCTATCTACACCCTCAAACACATGCCAGAAATGCGATACCACATCGACAGCCGAGCTTTTGCATTTGTTCTGAAAAATCAAATTATTTAGGACAAGGTATTTGATACGTTTTGGCATGTTCCATGCACACAAAAAGTGCCATCGCGCAGCATTCCACCATTTGGTTCAGGGAGGCATTCTGTAGAATTTGGACTACGACAACAACGCATACAAGCAGAAGCATCTAAGAAATTTGATTATAGAGCGGCATATAAATTGATACCATCAAGGCAGATACACGATTCTTTTCCGATTGTTTCGCAAAATGGTAAACATGTCCCATTTTGGCATTGTCCTTTATCTACACAATTTGTGCCATCAAGGGTTGGCCTTGGTGGTGGACAATCACCATTCGTTCCTCTGAAATAAGCATATTTATCCATACATAAAAAATTCTATACGTTTTGTAATAAACTCACGTGCAATTACTCTGCCTTGTACACTGCAATGCATTTGCAAATCGGCAGATATGAAGTGGAGGCAAGAATGTGCATGCTGGCGAGCAGCATGGGTGATTTTTTGGGGAACACTGTGACCCAGCCAGTAATTGACATTCCCTAGAGCAGCAACGTCCTCAAAACCTAGTGTTTGAAATTGAGAGGAAAATTACCCTCGGATTGCCCGTGAACGATAAAACCCTCATCGCACATTTCTCCATCTTCAAGAATGCCATTGCCGCAGACAGCCTTAATTTTTATTTGATAAAGCAAAATTTCTAGTCCTTACCCTTTGGTGTGGAATAAAACAATCATCAGCTCGATTTGAAAGCACTTGTCGCATATCGCGTATCGAACATTGTGAAAAGCGCTTAACGTATTTAATCTTGGTAACGCTTGAAATAAACTACCATATTATTCACATCATAACCAGGAACAGCGGTTGGATGCATGATATAATTTCCATCCCTCAGACTCTTCGGCTGGCACTCGGTACCATTATCGTGTTTAGCTCCCCAAGAATGGCCAAGTTCTATAGAAGCTATTTTTAAGCGAGCTACGTAATACCATGAGCCGTAACAATATCTGCTTCACGCGTGACTAGGAGTTGACCCCCGCCAGAAGCCGCTACGGTAGAGAAAAGCGTATTATAACTCTGTCGCGACTAAACAAACTTCTAAATTTTTCTATGGGTTATTTCATACCTGTGGGCAAATTCCCGCTCCAGTTGCTGAAGTCCCGACAAAAGCTAGACCCAGAATTCCCTCTCGAAAGGTTCTAGCTGTTAGTAGATGAACCAGGCAATAATCTTCCGAATCTTCCAATCGTTTGAGGGACTAAGAGACTTACATCCAATTTGCAATAGCTTACCTGTAAGAAATCATATGCGTTAAACTCCTTATCGGTGTTGTAGTGCTCGGGATCTTTTGGGTCGGCAGTCCAATGGGCAAAAATCACAATTTCCTGTATATGATTTTGTTTTTAGATCATAGCCTTCATACCTTGATCATAAAACCCAGATTGACCAGCCGCTCCTGAGATGAATTTTCACCAAAATCGGTTTTTGTGTAAATTTGATTGACACGATCGAAGAGGTTGACCTGGATAATTGTTTGTGTGTTATAATATTAGAAACACTTACAATATAACGACTGGTAAATGCTAGATGATTGTTGCCGGCTCGGTTGAAAAAACTATAATCGGCAATGATTTTCATGGGACAACGATTCTTCTCAACGACTACTTCTCGATATCTTCTCTTCCGGCTTTTCGGAATTTCAACGACCGGCTGATGCTAAAACTATTGGTTTTTAATTCTTTGCTTACTGACCGTTTCTGGGAAGATAAAAACTTGGTCATCCGCTGATCTAACTAAATTGGTGGCAGGGATGACATCAGAAGCTCTAAAGTATTTGAGTTTTCTTTGATATTTTATGCTTGCCTGTAGACAATCATTTCATCGTCAGGGGCAGTGGCATTATGCAAGAAATGGGGCTCTAGGTAGATCTGTTCTATATCACAGGAAAATGCCCCGAAAAGTCCATTCCCGGGGCTGTGGACCAGGCGTACCCAGGAACGCAAGCAGCCTAAATATAATTGCCTTGATTTTTCTATTCGCTTGGATGCCTTCTTTAATTTTGCGTTTTTCTCACCTTCTACTCGCCCATGAAACAGCTCATCAACTCCAATATTCTCAATTTCTACCCCGCCATCGGGATGTCGCAATATCGCTCGAAATTTTGAATCGATCAGACCTTTCGCGGGCTCCAGATGGAGTTTGTAGGTCTTTTCTATTGATATTGATTAGGTCACCACATTAGTGCGCTTACCCGACAGCTCGATTTCGACCACAGACCGCCCATTCTCTAGCAGATCCCGTTTATTTATTCTTTTTCGAGCGGTGTTAATAATTTCGAACCCTTTTAGTTTTTTCCGAAGGTCACCTGAATTGTCATTGCATTTTGATACTATTTTCTGGGCTTACCGTATATGGGCAATAAAAATATTAGATAGAAGACTAGGAGGGCTATTTTCGGATCCATACATCGGAGTTGATTAATCCTTGGTTGACTCAGGAGATGTTGCAATGCTAGAATGGTGATTGGATAACTTTATCATTAGCGCAGCTCGCAAGTCGAATGGTATGAGGGCGCATTTTGGGGTCGTTAGGAGTAACGTTGCGTAAGAGGCCTGCAGGCTCGCTTTTGGTGAAGAAGACCTACATGGGGTATCAATAAATTAAAGATTAATTAGACAGTAAATACCGATCTGGTTTCCGATAATACTTTTTATTTTATTTTTTCAAAAACTACGTCGGACAATGAATTTTTCTGCCACTCCTCTTGTTTCTTGCTGGGTTGTTACCTTTGAAATTGACCGAACTGTGCATCCGAAAGTCTATTTAGCTTTTAAGATTTTGTTTTTGGATTATAGCAGCTTCAAAGTTTGTTCTATCTCTGGATTTTCAGATCGATTTATTATAATAATTTAAGTAAACCCTCGATCTATGCGCCCTTACGCTGTTCCTGACTTTTGTTAACTTTAATTCTCGGTTAGCCCTATTACTAACATGCTCCATCGATTTCTCTCATCGCCCTTACCTGCAAGCTTTGACCTCTTCTTTTGCTGTTCTTTTGTTGCCTCGGGTACCACCGACTCGTTACGCGATGAAATGCCCTTTTCCCTCTCTTGGTCGGGTCCCGCCGCGACGGCTTCAGGGAACGAGGTGATCCTTGGTTCAGACCGCGAGAGCACCCAAGAGCTCCATAGGTGGTCCAATAGCAGCTCTTTTTCGAGGAAACTTTCATCTAAAATGTGAAGTATACCTTTATTTAAACTCCTAGAAATCATACACTTTATTGAGACTGTAAATACTCCGTTCACTGCCCTCATTCCCCCATATAATTTTGATGTATAACTTAATTTTTGTTCTTTTCAATGAAATATGATGAATTTTGATATTCAGAATGGCGGACGTGGCTGGACATGCAATCCCGTCCATCGACATGATCAACGCCACCTCCAAGCTTCAGCTTGAAGCCGCGGAGGTTTGTATCTTTGGACATCTCGGAGTTACTGGACTAGGTTCGCGCCAACAAACCGAACTGGGGCTCGTATCTTCGGTCGCAGATGATCCCCCAGGACGACTACAATTTCATCGTCGCCTATGAGGGATCTAAGGTTGGTTAGGGGGAGAATAATAAACGCTGAAACATCAACAAATAAAAACAATAATTAAGCGTTACATTTTTAGTCCAAAGCCGAACGTGACGCCGTCCTTGCCGCCAACGGCGAAAACGGACAGGCCGTCCGCACTTTTGTCAGCCTGATCAGCAACGTGGCCAAAGATCAGAATGTGCGCTACGTGCTGACGCTTTTGGATGATATGCTCCAGGTGGGTGTAATACTGAACCAAGCGAAAAAGCCGCTAAAAACGTTTTATCCGAAGACCAAGCTATTTTTTAGGAAGACAAAAGCCGTGTCGAACTCTTCCACGATGCTGCCAAGAAACAAAAGAAGAATGCGTGGCAATGGTTCTTGGGTATCCTGCAACGCCAGGATAACTTCATCGTTAACCAGGTATAAAAGTACGATATCAAAAACCAATATCTTACTTCTAGATGAGCTCGGTCATCGCCAAGCTGGCTTGCTATGGCAGCACCCTGATGGATGGATCTGACCTCAGCTTCTATTTCTCTTTCCTTCAGGATCAACTGAAAAATGTTCAGGTTTGTAATACCGGTCTTCTTTCCAATAGTAGCTTAAGCAACACGAGTACATGAACACGACGGCTCGTTCTCTTCAAATGATGCTCCGCATCGATGAGTACAGAACCGCCTTCGTCCAGCAGGATGGCGTCCAGGCGCTCGTTGCTGCCCTCAACGGAAAGGCCAACTTCCAGGTACCTTCCAATCGGAGGCAAGCACACGTTTTGCAGCTCCAATACCAGCTTATTTTCGCCATCTGGTGCCTTACCTTCAACTCGGATATTGCTCGCAAGGCTCCTAGCCTTGGAATCATCCAAGCTTTGGGTGATATCCTCTCTGAGTCGTCGAAAGAAAAGGTGAGATACTATCAAGCATACCAATCATAATTTCCAGGTCATCCGTATCATCCTCGCCACCTTCCGCAACATCCTCGAGAAGGCTGGAGAACACGGCGAGCGCGAAATCGTGCGCGAGGCAGCCCTCCAGATGGTGCAGTGCAAGACACTGAAGACCCTGGAGCTGATGGACTCCAAGAAGTTCGATGATCCGGACCTTGAGGAGGATATCGAATACCTCAACGAAAAGCTCCACCTCTCTGTCCAGGATCTGTCGTCTTTCGATGAATACGTTGGCGAGGTCAAGTCCGGGCGCCTGCAGTGGTCTCCGGTGCACAAGTCGGACAAGTTCTGGCGTGAGAATGCCGAGCGTTTCAACGATAAGCGATGGGATATTGTCAAGTAAGGATTGTTTCGGAAGTAGTAGTTAATATTTTCTAGGACTTTGATACGTCTATTGGAGACCGCTTCGGATGTTTTGACGCTTTGCGTTGCTGCTCATGATATTGGAGAATACGTCCGACACTACCCTCGTGGGAAGACGTAGGTTTCAAATCAAATAACCTTTTTATTTCGATTATTTCAGCTTTGTCGAACAGAACAACGGCAAGTCCGCAGTGATGAAGCTCCTTTCCGCCGAAGACCCGAACGTCCGGTACCACGCCCTCCTGGCCATCCAGAAGTTGATGGTCCACAACTGGGAATACCTCGGCAAACAACTCCAGAAGGACGCCCCAGAAAGTGTCACTGCCAAGTAAATAAAATCCACAACATCTCGTGCAAATCGTGTACGTCCCATTAGCCTCTTCGATAGGTATCTTGCCGCTTTCTAACTAAGGCCATCTATCTCAAGCGCCTTCAGAGGGCGATCCTCTTCCGAGTCCTCGATTGATTCAAATTACCACCATTCTATGACCACCAGTGATTCCCAAAGCCTAGTTCACTTCCCCCGACGCGTCAATACAAGACGTTACGCAGCGTACACACACTTGCGCTCGCTTTACTTTAGCTAGCAGCTTATCCCTAGTTGTACATTTCTTTGGTCTATACATTCCCCCATGGTCCATGTGATATGCTATATATGATGTCGTACGATTGAGAGGTAATGAAGATATCTTTAAATATCTTGTTTATGCAACACCACATGCAACATGCAGGCATCAGGCGCCAGGACTGGGAAAGAGACACAGAGGGTATTTTGATGGGAGGATGTGTGAAATGGGTTCAAATACGGAATCAACAATTTATCAACGAAACAATATGAAAATAGTTAACTTTACTTCCTCTTTCCGTGGAAACCGCGCTTCTTCTCCTTGGGCTTGGGCGGGAGGATGATACCATCGTACTGAAAGTAATTCACTTGGTTTTTTTGTATTTAAACACAGACATTATTGCAAGCTAGATAAATTTTGGCTGTTTTGAAAGAAAACTCTTAATGTGCTATCGTTACCTACTAATTATTCAATATTTGAAGTCAGACAAACATGACCATAAGCTTAAAACATTCCAATGTTTTTCAATGGGGTATTTTTAATAGAAATATATTATTGCAAACTACCTTCTGCCCAAATGCGAACATTATTTAAGCAACAAATAAAGAACGACCTAAAACAGTTTCACATACCTTAGCCTGGAACCACTTGACGGACTCCTCCTGGCCGACACGGTGAGAAACACCGACACGTCCCGGGGCCCTTCTCCGCTTGGCGACACGGCGTCCGGCGCGATCGAGCACAACGTAGAAGTCCATTCCGTAGATACCGATCGACGGGTCGTACTTGATGCCCAGATCGATGTGCTCCTGCACGCCGAAGCCGAAGTTGCCGGAGCGGGAGAAGTTCTCGCGGTACAACTCGTATTCCTTGACCTGAAAGCGGGTGGGTTAGCTATGTTGGTCATGATGTATACTTTAAAGCTGTAGTAATATCATGAAAAAAATATTTGGGTTATCTACTAGAATGTCATCAGGGGGAATAGCGAGAAAAGCAATTACTGCACGTGGCCTATGTAGACTTTCCTTGCAATCCTTTTAACTATTACAGTTTACAGCATATTATGTAAATAGACGCTATAGGTTTATGCCGGTGCAGCTTGACCATTGACCTGATCTTAGAAAAATGAATTTATGACAAAATGGTTTTTTTCTCGGAAAGAATGGAATTCCTAAATAATCTGTACATCGTAATCATCCTGCTAAAACATAAACTACAAATAACCTGTCTTTTTTAGATAGATCTTATTGTTCACCCACCTTCAGGCCACGCTCGAGGAGCTCCTGGGCCTTGGGTCCGCGGACGGTGCAGTGAACGGAGATCTTCTCGTTTCTCCGGATTCCGAAGGTACGCACGGTGTAGCGGGCCTTCGAGAACACGGGGGTCTGGCCAGTGAGCTGTTCCAGCACCTATAAAAATATATAGATAAAGGTCAGGAGGCTTTAAATATACGTAAAAGTAAAATGATTTTTTGGGACGATCTTAAATGAATTCAGATCAAGACCGATGTAAAACACTATAGAGGCTTGACAAAACAATATTGGATTGTCAAAAAGGTCTGAATTTAGTTCGGAGCCTTCCTTGTTAAAATAAACTATCCAAAGCGGTTTTTGCTGAAAATAATTACTTATACCGCTTAATACATAGATATTGCTTAAAAACGAACCTTAGCGGCACGGGTCAGCCTATCACCGGATTCTCCGACGCAAATGTTCAGGCAGAGCTTCTGGATCTTCAGCTCGCGCATAACATTCCTCTGCTTCTTCTCCTTGACCTCAGCGGCCTGTTCAGGAGTACCCATTGCTGCAAAGTACGCCGGTAACTATTGGTCATCAAAAGATCCATAATATTATAGTATAGTTAAAATCCGAAGGTTAGAAACGATAAAGAAAGCAAAACTTTTAGGGTTCTTTGATGTAGGTATGCGAGGAAATTCCCCCAAAAAGACGGCAAGGGTTCTCTGCGCCTTACGGTAGATAAAGGTCCCGGTGCGGCGGGGGTCCAGGGAATAGGGCGCGACACACAGAGACCACCCACATGGAAATATAGCTATGTCGTGTAGAGTTCACAAAAGAGCTACGAATAAAATTTATGGCAAGGCAAGGAAAAAGTGAGGCAGCAAATTACCAGTAAAGCAAATTGTGATAAAATATGGAAATTTTGCACGTACAAAGAATTGAAAATTTTTCAAAAAAGCACGAAATAAGAAAAGCATGAAAGCACTCCAAATTAAAAAGCATATTCAAATACACATATAATGATCAATTCGACTATGCAAAATTGCCGGAATTGAAACATCTTTGGAGATATTCGGCTTCCATCGTTCTGACAATTGGCTAAATGGGAGTTTGAGCCGATTTTATTTTTAACTTTACCTGACCACACTCTCTTCGCAGTTCGAGGAAACGGCTGGTCCTTCGACATGAAGTATCACGTATAAGTGTTCACCAATTATGAACTGATCATCGAACCATCCATGTAGAGCCAATGGAGCGTCATTGCTAGACGAAAATCAGCGAAAAAGCTGTTTAACTTACTGTAAGTCGGCCACGTTCGTCAGAAATCCCATGTGAAAATCCGAGGACTTTACTTCGGAAAAGTAATCATGCAGATCCTTTCGGGTAGACGTTTCTAAAACCATCTAAAAATTGAAAAAAATGGATTACCTGTAACTTTGAATGCCCCCGGAGCTCCCAACGTATCTTGTGCGACTTTGACCAACTGAAACCCTAAATTACGACGCTTGTTGAGGTACCTGAGAGACCGTATTTTCTCCTTTTTTATCGGAAGTGTACACCAAAACCACCATGGGTTCTTCGCTCTTCTGATTCAGCCAGTTTGTAAGGGTAGCTGCAGAAAAATGGCATTTCACTGGAATACTTACCGTTTAATAACCGTTCGTGATTCTCAGATAGTTTGTTTTCTTCTAACGCTTTCTAGAAACCTATGTAAAACATTTGGATCTACATACCTGCACGCCCACTTTGAAATCATCTTTGTCAGTTGAAGTGGATAAGGCTATTGCAAGTAGGGGTACCAGTATAACCAAGGCAATAGAGAGGCTGTAAATAGAATGAATATTAGCTTTACTATCCATACCCGGTTCGGAGAGGTTTTATTCGTTCGGCGAAGCCGATTCTGCGGCTAAATTCTTCTCCACGCATGTCATCTGGCCTGAAACAAGGACAGACTTAGATGATATTAAAAATAGTTACTTGGATTTTTCGCTTCCTGCACCGTTGTCCGGTTCTTCTGTTTCTAGATTAAAGTCACTAAAATTTTGGAATATTCTTGAGCGATTAGATTACTTTTCAAGAGGAGTGGAAGTGTTTTCTTCTGTTCGAATCCCTCTTCTTAGGCTCGGATCTCTAGGCATCTGGAAGGTTTATGTTCCATGTTTTTTTTTTGCAACAGAGATTAAGTCGAAACTTTAGAAAAATTTAATATAATTGTATTTCCAGCTGCCACTGGCAAACATTGAGTATTTTTGTTGCGTAATTTTTTGGCAGGCGCGCGCTTTCGATTGCCCGGGTGCCCCAAGGTGTCGTAAGCAGATGGCAATGTGTAGAATACAACCGAATCACTAAATATTTATTCAGAACGACAATATCGAATGCGGAATGACAATCCGCGTGTAAAAAGCTCTATGCAAGATAGTTGGTTGTGAGACAAGGGTAAACCCGCAGCGTGGAACATAAAGCTAGCAAAATGAGAAGACAAAGGCAATAAAAGTGCGTGAATTTTGACAGGTTGGATGTGCGGTATAGATATTGTTAATTCAGTTACTGCTATCAAGCGTTGTAAAACAGGGAAAACGAATACGATAATGAAAATTTCTTAAACAAAAGTGTTAGGTTCTTCGGGGCTGTGCAAAGACGTATGAGGCTTCTTCAGACCTCTATGTGCAGCAGGAATCTCATAGCCTTTGTTAGTCTTGTGATGAGTACGAATCGTCGCTGGTTGATCGCCTTGGCCATCAGCCAGGTTTTCCTTATCAATATTATTAGTTGTTAGTATGAATTAAACCATTGAAATTGGAATCGGTGCATCGAGATCAAAGAGACTCATGTCCATGGTTGGAGGTGGGCCGCTAACGGATGAACGGCGTCTCTAAAATGCCATATTTTTTGATTTTTCGTTTGAACTACCAAGGGATGTGGAAAAGTTGGCAAATCGACAGGAGCTTCATCATCAGATGGTAGATTAATATACAAATGAAGCGCCGATTGAGCCTGTGCATACATAGAGATAAAACCAAGAATCGACCTACATTTCTGAAGTTCTGCCCGAAGTTGTCATGCAAATATGGTGCTGAAGTGATGGGCGGGGAAAGGCAACGCTCATCAGCATGTCTCGATAGACGCCGGTTCTGAAAATGGACGTACACATAATAAAACCCTTGATCGTAAGAAAAACCTTGAGCGCTCCAACGATATTGTCCAGAGATCCCGTGTCACTCACGCGGTTGTTAAGCATCGGTAGACCTAAAACGAAATGCTAATTTGGCTATAATGCCTACCTTTAGCCATGTGGGAGAACGTTGCTCCGACCTGACTCCACGTGACTGTCCTCATCGGAACGTATCCAGGCGAGGTTCCTGAACGTTCAGGCGTCGGCTTCGGCGGTCTCAGACTTGTTCTTGAAGCTTTCGAGCTTTTCTTTGTTGGGATAATAGGGAGGCGATCGGATCTTTTCTTTTTCTTTGCTAAAAAAACGATTAATTTTCCAATCAATCCCACCGGCTTCCGGGCTCAATGGCAAGGCCGGTCCACTGGAGGTGCTACTGATACTTCTCGTTCGAATACGGTAATCGGCAGGGACACCATTTAAAGTTGTAGTATCGTGTCTCACAACAATGACACGTCTAAAAACAGAATTATTTTTGACGAATCAAAGATACCTTTTCGGAGATTCCGTGGCCTTACGATGTATGCAAGAACAACAACGAATGGCCCTAAATTTTAGCCAATTGACGAAGCCTGATTAAATCACTTGATCACCATCACGATCCCGATTGCAATCATCAAGATCAGGCCAGCCACTATAACATAGATCCAGCCAAGTGACACCCGATATTTACAGGTTTTGGCATTGCAGATGGGGTTTCCGCAATAACTGAGAAATTCATAACTGTTAGGCCACAAGGTTTACCTAGCTGGTCCACAATCACAATCTTCTGTAGATTCCGCAAATCCGTTGCCACATACGGGTACGTACGATGCTGATGGTTGTGCCTGAGAGCGTAGACAAGGAATTGTGTCCGCGAGGTTGACCACGCCCTGAACCGCGCAGTCGCCATAGCCCCTAAATGCAGGTAAGAAGGTCAAAAAACACTTTTACCCCAGTCTGAGACATTTTCTTCTTCCCCATGAGCATTCACAGTCGGTCTGCGCGGAATGGTTTAATCCCAGTAGGTTTACAAATTGGTAGAACATTGCAGTTCCAGCAGCGGCTGGCCGACTCGGATCTAGCTAAATGTGATCGGCTATTCAAAAGGTATGGTTTCAAACTTACCCCCAGAATTGCTGTGTCTCGCTCCGTACATAGCCCGCCTGCGAATGATGTGCCCGAGCCATATTTCTCTTCGGTTAAGAGTAATACCATATCTCGGGCGGGCTGAATGTAAATTATTTCGAATTTTTTAAATTCTCGTTACCAGGCTCAGCTGTTTGTCCAGAAAATCTGTCAGTCCTGAGCCATCGTATTGAACCGGAATTACATCCACGATCACAACTTGGATATTAAGCGGATAGAAATGCTGAAACAATTGTTTTTTTTTAATCTGACGATCAAACCATGTTAACGGATTGAAGCATAGAAAGCACAGCTCCGTTTAGCTTTGATGATCGTGTGGATGAGTAGACCGGCTAAGAAAGGCAATAATCTGAGATAAATCGAGTCACATACGAGATTAGCATCTACGCATAGCAGAACTTCGACTATCATCGGCTTTCTGGGGTAAACGACGGCCGACAAATCGGAGGTGGCAACATTTTCATACTATAAATTGCTTTGATGTTTCGAAAATTTATCAATTCTTGGTTCTAATCTTTTCTCCCGATAAATTATTACTGGCACTAATCGGTTTTTCGTTTAACGCTTTAGGTTTTTACATCATATTCGAGCGGTCCGGCCGAGGTTGTCCGCGCAAGGCACAGGAAAAGCCACAAATAAAAGTGTTCGAGCTTTTTCATATCCTAAAATTCTAGTAAAAAAAGAAAACATCATCACGAAGGACGCAATTCATGGCAAAAGAAATAAATTAAAACGCCTCCTAGCCAAATTCTAGGTGCATAAACGGCTCTTTGTTGAGATAAAATGGTTTCAAGGCGATCATTCGATGTTAGAATATCGAGCACAAGCTGAGTCACACTGCCTCGCCTCACCCCGGCCAGAACCCGATCTCACCAATTACCCAACGAATGCTTTGCTTTGACTTTCACTTCTGCCGACTATCCCGACGATAATCTCTTGAGTGGAATATTTGAAACTTAATTTCGCGAAAACTTTGGCCGAAAACCGCGCTAGCATATCTACAATCTTTTTAAACCCATACTAATGAGAAAAATTTTTACGCAGTTATCGGGACAAGTAAATAAGTTGTGAAATATGCTACAAATGTAAAAAAGCTTGAAAGTCTTCATTAGCAATGAAAATGAATGGGTGGTCTTTGGGGGATGAGTCAATATGGACGGAGGCCACTCAAAAGTCCGCTGTCGGGAAGCAGCGTTTTGACCAGTTTTCCGTGGCGCGGAATCCAAGATATTTCCTTTTATGAATGTAATACGAAATGGCAGACGTGATTGATTACTGTATTTTGATGAGTCATTGAGAGATATAATAGCCTCATTATTGAATCTGCCGGATGGGTGTTTATTTTTATCAAGTGAATTAAGGCGCAATAATGGAAAAACTATTTCTGCCGCTTTTAAAGGGGTGAGGAGGGCAGGGGTAGATCAGTATTTTGCTGTAGTTGAAAAAACTAACCGGAAACGCGATGCAAATAAAAAAGAAATGGCGACCGGAGACGGCGGATCAGCGCTGATTTATGCAAATTTCGAACCCATCCGACTTTATGCCATTTTAGGATAATTCCCTGACCCTTTGTTGATTTACTTGAAATATTATTCTAATAAAAAACCAGACGCTTACGATCACATGCACAAGGCGGCCCCACCCCAAGCTGCGAACCTACTCTGCTACCCAAAAATCGAGGTCACCGCAGACGGTATGGGTGGAGAAGAAAGATTTAGATGAATCCACCCCCTCTGGCTGGATTTCCATCAGCACCCAATCGGTGCTAGCAATCTGTCACCCCTGTCGACACCCCAGCCAATTTGTTGTGAGTTTCTCCCCAAAGATCCTCCCTACCACTTCAAACCTTTCTGTGGTAACCCAGGTTGGAGATGAAGGGGTGTTGCGAAACTCGATCGTACTTGTCGTAATCGTAATTCGTAATTAGGGTATGCCAGGAAAATGGTATTTTCATGCTAATTTTCAAACGACAACCAATTTGATGCTAATTGGCCTGCATCTTTCTGTGTCCTTGCCACCAACTCTAGTTGAAAAGTTGGCACGCCCTAAGGAATAATTACCTTCTGGAAAACCGGAACCGATGCCGATGTCACTTCGCCTTTTTCCGTATCGTTTTGCTGAGTGACAAAAACGACCTCAAAATGTTATCATCCCTTTAAATTTTTGTGCTAACAATCACCTGGTTGAGGCTGGTCCCTTTAGCAATAAACACAAAAGTCAGCCACCCGATACCAACTGCTACCATATCCAGGAAAAGTACTATTCTCAGGAATACAAATAGGCTGAAAGCACTATGGGTATATGCTTTCAGGGTCTGAAGATCAAAGAAATCAATGAATCGCGAAAAGGCGCCGTCTTATAGAGAGAGAAAAACAACGCCTCGGGTGTGGAAATGTTTTTGTAAAAAAGCTGGAAGATAGTGCGAGACATGTGATGGTGGATGGTGTTACCTGAAAGGGCTGGATGACGTTTTCTGTTTCAGATATTAGACATACTAGTGCGTCAATAAGATTCTACGGTAGAATCCAACATGAACTACAGATTTTGAAAGCTTTGTGAAATTAACCCACAATTATTCGCGAATGCCTCCAGGTATAGAGAAAAACCTTAACATAGGCAATACTTCTTCAAAAGGGACGGTGCCAGCCGGCTTCCACCATATCGACCTTGCTGGTACACTGCGACTGGCGAAAAGTCAGCATCTGCCGCATCCAGATGTTCAAGAATTCGCCGTAGATATTATCATCGATGCCGGATTTCGAGGCTGTCGGCATGCTTGCAGCACTAATGATAACAAAGATAGCCTGAGCTGCGCTCTGTGTGCTACGGTACCTTTAGATGCAATTTCAGAGGAGTTGACCCCTCAGATGCCAAAAATCCTGTTTTTTTTAAATATCGATAGAGTGCTTGAAAGTAAGCGGGGTATGCAGCCGTCAAGTATAAGAACAACTTCTGAGAGATCAATATTCCGGTTCCGCTTTTCCCCTTTGCAACAGACGGGCCGAAGTGTTTGTCAGGACGTGTGGATGAAAAATAAAGTTTTTCTATACAGCAGCTTCGCAGCCTTTCCACATTTAACTTTTGAAATATCCCAGTCTCTACCTTTAATGTGCCTGTCACATGCGCCCCCACATTTCCGAGCACTATCGTGGATGGAAAGGTGGGCAAAGAGTCTGTACCTTGTGTGCACGTAAGGAAAGGGGATCCCTCCAAAAATGTCTGTGTCTCCCCACCCAACCTCAACTCTTGCCCCCACTCTCGCCATTTCTAGTTTCTATTCCCCCACAAACGCCACTCCACAAAGCACAATTGATCCAACCCGCCTTGGCCGAACCACAGGCTATGCTTTCGCATACTTTCTATAGCCGTTTTCTGTTTTGTACCCACCTCCGCCTTCGTCCCTCACCCTCCCCGACCCAGTAGGAGACTGTCTGGATCTTGGAGGGTCATTCTTCAGCCTCTCATCCATCATTTGGAGCATGGCTATCCCCACAAAGCTCTGTCTGACTCCATTTATTCTGGATCATCTTAGAAGGAAGCGAAGGTGGTTGTGATTATTTTTTGTTGACTTTTGGGTATCCATGGAAACGAGTAATTGCTTTTCGACTTCGATTTTTGATGTCCCTCGCGACCCAAAGGTCTCAAAGGACTCAATCCTTAACAGCAACGATAATATACAATTTTTGAACTTTTCGAAAAGAACCGATTTCCAGGCCCTCCAGGCCCAACCCGCCAAAGGGCTGCCCCAAAAACAAATAAGTCCTAAAAGTGGATGCTGACAATTCGGCATCGCACACAACTACCCCCTGTGAAAAGACTAGTCTCTCACTCCCACACTCGTCCTTCCTCCCAACCCTTTCCAAGCCTTTATAATCATCCACCAGCACCCAAAAAACCATCGACTTCCAGAGCCTCCGAAAGCGAGGCTTCATCGGAAAGCGACATGAGCGAGCCTCAGACGTTGCTTGACGTCGTTGGCGATCAAGGGTTGGCACCGTCACATATGCCATCTGAGGGCGAGCAGAAGACGTGCCAAATTTGCTACGATATCTCGGATGGGCTGCATTTTGGTGAGCAAAACTGGTGGGATTTATTTAGTTTTTAGGCTGCTACAGCTGTCGGGCTTGTGCGGCTTTTTTTCGGCGTACCGTGACGTTGAAGTTGGACTATATTTGTCGAGCCGAAGCTAAATGTGAAATCCAGAAATGTGGGTTTAAAATGAAAACACGATATGGAGTGGACAACAAATTTGAGGAAAAAATTTACGGGTGATTTTTAGCCGGCCGTAATATGTGCAGAGCTTGCCGATTCCAAAAGTGTATCTCCCAGGGAATGCAGATCACTGGTAAGTATCTTATCAGATAGATGATCTTTTCATCATATGAACCAATGCAACAATCTTATTTAGCTGTCCAACAAACGCGAGACGGCATTGGAAAGAGGAAGGAAAAGGAGAGCGCGGCGACCCGTGAGTTTTTCCCGTTCTAGTTTCTGTGTTGGGAAGTAATGGCTTACTTTTTTGACGTGACCCCCGTATACTGTACCACCTGTGGAGCAAATAAGCCTATTTTAGAGGGCTATATTCCGTCTACTCGTCAGGACAACAATCCACTTGCTCTTTGGGGCCCTCCTACCACCGAGCTGCACCAACCCTCGGCGTTTAAGAAACCAAACGTTGGGGATTTATTAGGTTAGTCAGGCTTATTCATGATCTTTATATTTTTGATTTTAGAAAGACCCGGAAGTAACGAAGGGTATTTCTACGCCAGGACGAACGAGATCTTTTCAAATACCGCCCCAGTTGCACCACTTGGAAATATGGTAATTAGCTGCCAGCCCGGCCCAAAATACAATAATACTTTTTAGGTGATCTCCCCACCCTACTCCTCATTTACTCCACCTCTCCAAATGCAGATGAAAATATTACCCAAAATGCATGACGGCTACTTGCATTTTCTTTCCATTCGCAAAGCCACGAATAGCCTGGTCGATAATCAAAGTGTCCAAGAAATGTTTGAGCCAAAAGAGGTATGAAATAAAATTAATACCTATTAATATATAATTTTTTAGACACTTCGCATGAGCAATTTTGAATCGTCAAAGAAGGTCTGCCAAATGGAGGCCCATCTTGTGACGAGTGTCGTGAACAACTATTTCCATCCATTCGCTACCGTGGATTTTGAAGACAAGGTAATTCCCAAATCTATTTAAAAATATTGTCTTATTTATTTAGGTACTGCTTTTCAAAAACTTTTTCTGCTACCTCTCACACGTTGATCGTGCATATCAATCATATCGAGTATTCGGTGATAGTCCAGGTATCAAACAATCCGAGCTTACTTTAACGGTATTATAGATGATGATCGTATTATAATGCCAGATGGAGGCTTTATTAAACTGAGCGAACTTGAGAAGTATTATGAAAATGCTGAATCTGTTAAAGCAGATCCCAAGGAAGCAGCAACGTAAGATCAATCAGCTCATTTTGATTGTAATTAATTTTTAGCATTTTCCGCCCTGCAATGTCATATATCTTAAACACCATTATTGCCCATATGAGAAGGATCGAGCTGTCCGACTACGAATATTTGGCGATTATTGCCCTGTTTTTGTGGCAGGAAGGTAGGGGATTACAAAATTTCACAACTAAATATTATTTTAGGAGTTCCTGGTCTTAAACAAGAAACAATCAAAACCATTTTCGAAACTCATGATCAAGTTTTCCGGGATTTGCATATTTATTACCAGTAAGGCAGCTATTGCGATATATTACTATTGTTTTTCTTAGGCAGCAAGGCTTCGACGGCCCTACAATTACTTCGAAGACCGCCCAGCTCATGCTGATAATCCCGAAAATGGCGGTAAGCTATTTTTTCAAAAATCTTCAGGGTCCAATTTTTTCGCTGACAGAGACTAAATTTACGTTTCTGCAGCCTTATCTTCCGCAAAAGACGGACACCTCTAAAAGCGGACTATAACCACGTGACTATAAAATGAAAGGATCAAACTCCATCGCACTCAAACTTCATCCGCCCATTTCAGCGCTCGGTGACGATGATCCGGGAAAACTACGAACTTGCCGAGCTGTTCAACATTTTCGAGGTTGACGTGTGCTGCAAATCATTTAAAAATGCCGAATACCGTTAAATATGTTTTCCCTCGTTCCTAGCTGACCGATTTACTTATGATGATCTTGCAACTGACCTCAGCCTCATCAAAATATTTCTGCTTAATACTATGTTGCTGTTATTTTGAAAAGTTCTAGATCCAATAGCGTGTACCAAAAACCAATGTTGTGATGTGACCTGATACTTGCTCAGGTCTTGAAAATACCTGTGACTATAAAGATATAATTATTTTCTAAACTTTCTACATTCAAACATTCAAAAACGAATTAAACTTTACAAAACTATTAGAACAAAGACGCACAATAGTTTAACGCGTGAAAAATCTAGTAAAAATAGTAGATATCGTTCCAAAACGGGTCTTCCTGGAGATGGCAATTTTCGTAGGTCAAAAAAACATCGACCGACCACCCCCAAAGACTACAGTGCAACACCCAATCATGATGTTTACTCAATCTCATCCCAATATCCGAGAAAAGAGTCTAGCATCCGGGATTCGCGTCAGCGGTGGCCCTTATCGAAACACAATCAAAATGGCTTTATGAGCTTTATATTGCGGCCAGGTAGCCGGGGCATACACTGCTTGAACCCTACCCCCCTTCTCCGGAACCCACGCCGTCGCCATGCGGCAACTTTTTTGGATTTCCCTATTTTTGGGGTTAATTGCCGCCGGGGTTATCGTCAAGGAATCGCCGGTGCCGAAGGATGCGAAGCTGAATCGACATTTTGTAAGTTGCCCTTGAACGTCAGGATTTGAGGTTTAGATTACCAAAGCGTTGATGAGCTATACCCGAAATCGGGATCCGGAAGTCCGATCGGCATCTTGTGGGCTCTGCCGACTTTTGGTGGATTTTGTGCAAATAGCCATCAAATCGAACCGGACTGATGAGGCGATTATGAAGGACGTTGAGTGAGTAGAACAACCTCACCGATTAATTCCTTTCAGAGCCCTTTGCCGGAACTTAAACGTCGAACAGCCCCACGTCTGCAATTCCATCGTGCAAATGTTTGGCGTATGTACTTTCCGGGCCTCAAATCCATAATGACATCTAGCCAGAAATCATTTTCGTACTGCAACGAGCGGTGTTCACACCGGATGAGATTTGCGGTGGACTGGTGGCCGGTAATTGGTCCCAGTGGGAAGTGATGTATTTTTAGATTGCGGGCATTCGGAAAATCCTTTGCAAGAAATGTGGAATATGACGATTCCGGAGGGGAAACCTCCTGTAAAGCCATGGCCTACGGTGCCGGTAAGAGATATAGAGAGAGAGAAACCTCACCAATTTCTAAACGTTTAGAGTGGCAAACCTACAATGAGAGTCCTACATCTGTCGGATATTCACATCGATCGTTGGTATTCGGTTGGATCGGATTCGGGTACAACATCTTAAAAAAGCCGTTTACATATTTTAGATTGTAACAATGGAAAAGGAATAGATGCTTTTGGCACCTACGCCTTGTGCTGTCGCGAATACCCACCAACCGCTGCAAACCGAGAGCAGAAGGGTAAGCTTTTATCCCTATTTAATCTTATAAGCCCAATTTTTAGCTTCCAAATCTCCTGCCGGCCCATGGGGAGCAACAGCTCGTTGTGACATACCTTACCAAACTTTTGACAGTGCTATGCGGTACATCAACCGTACCGAAAAGGTAATTTTCTCTCTAATAACAAAGATTTCCATTTTTAGTTTGACTACATCATGGTCACCGGAGATTTTGAAGCTCACGACATGTGGGACTACACGCGAGAACGCACCAAGGCCAATATTGAGAATATCACGGCTGTTTTGAGGGAATATTTTCCGCATACCCCGATCTATCAAACCATTGGAAATCACGAGGGAGTGCCGATGGATGGGTAAGAAATGAATCTTTAATACGGGATACGCCTTACAGAATGCCTGCACATACAATGGATGGCTATGACACGCACAGCCCTGAATGGTTGTATAAGGAACTGGCCGATCAATGGAAACCCGACATTACTGCGAAGGCGTACAATGACGTTATCTAGTACCACTAAAAACGTTAGGCATTAATCAAACTCTTTTCAGCCGCGCTTCCTATTCGATTTACATCAAGCCCAACCTCAAGCTGGTGTCGTTAAATTCGGTTTATTGCTCAGCATTTAATTTGTAAGTGTTAAGAGAACATTTAGGCCTAGCTGATACCTTTAAGCTTTATGTACCTGGACCAAGTTGATCCTGATGGTACACTACAGTGGTTGATTGACGAGCTATTGGATTCTGAAGCGAAGGGCGAAAAGGCAATATTTTTAAGATACTAAGAGACGCTAATTTAGGTGCATATCATCTCACATATTCCTACCGGTGATGGCTACTGCTTGAAGGGATGGGCGTCAAATTACTACAAAATTGTCAACAGGTCATGAAAACAGCGATTAGTTAAAATATTTTTTTTAGATTCGAAAATACCATCGCTGCACAATTTTTCGGCCATACCCACAATGATCACTTTGAAGTATGAATTCATTTTGACGCAATTTTAAACGCATTTTTAGGTTTTCTATGAAGATTTCAACCCGAAAGGAAGGCCCACCCATTTCAACTTTATTGCCGGTTCCTTAACCACCTACGATTTTATGAACCCATCATACCGTATCTACACTATTGATGGGGCATACACTGGCAGCACCTACGTAAATTATATTATAAATTATTTATGTTGTTCTTTAGACCGTTATTGATGCCGAGACGTATTGGGGTGATGTGAACGAGGCTAATAAGAACAATAGGGAGCCCGATTGGAAGTTGGAATATACCACCAAGGTTTGAATTAAAAGCATAAGTTTCACGAAGGAGCTTTGTAATACTATAAACAATGATTTAGAAAGAATACAAGATGCCTGACTTGTCACCGGCTAGCTGGAATGATTTGATCAACCGTTTTGACAATGATGCGTTCCTGTTCCAGAAATTCCATACGTAAGCTTTCTTTCTTATTTAAAAAAATTTATTTCTGGTTCTAATTATCTTTCGATGTTTCAGCCACTACTACCGGAACAAAGACCAAGAACCCCTCTGCCCATTCGAGGAAAAATGCCGAAAAGAATTCACCTGTGCCCTGAGATCGGCCCGATCCTACGACAGCGCCACTTTCTGCCCCGCATAACTGTACTTACAACCAGGGCTTTACATAAAGTTTATTACATAATAATACACATTGCGCAACAACGTTAGTATTTCTCGTTGTAGTCGAGTTTCTCGCCGCCGGGAAAATCGATTTGGTATTTGATGTCGAGCTCCTTCTTGTCATGCTCCGGGATGGATACAGTGACCTCAAGGTTGTTGGTGGCTGCATTAATAAATGCTCCTTCCTCCTTTCCGGCGCCTTCGTCGGCGCTTTTGACGGGAGCCGTCGGGGAGAGGACTTTCACCTGAAATATGGGGCTCAATGAAGAGGTTTTTGGGGCTTACCGTAATCTTCTCATCGGTGCTCCTTGGGATTTGTTCATGAATTGTCACAAGGACACTCTCCTTTTTGGTGTTCTTGATGACAACCTTCTGGTGGCGTTGGGTCGAAGAGGTTTTGGTGATCAAGCCGCTCTGAAAAATAGAATTAATAACTGTTCCTGAACGGCGCAAATCAATTGTATAAAATTTACCTGTCCCTTCTTGTCGTGCGCCGGCTTGTAATCGACTTTGATTGACGCGTCAACACCCAACGAAACGTTGAAATGCTCGCCAGGAGAAACAGCCTTCAGTTGAGACTAAAAAAAGAAAAGCTACATACTTCTAGATATATTTCTCCCGACCTTATTGATAAAGTTGGTGTCCAAGAAAACGGCAGCCTCTCCAGGGAGGAAGGGTAGGTTGGAGGAGTTCACTGCGGCAGCGGTCAGGAACACATTGTTATTCTTTGCGGGCACACATTCAAAGTTGAGCTTGGGTACGAATGACGCAGCTCCGATTGTGACCTAGATTTGTTTCATAATTATTTTTTAATATCGCTAGACGTACCTTATGCTCAGAGTTGTCTGGTGGGATCACAGCTGGACGTGCGATGATGAACTCGGAAGAAAGAGCTTGCTCTTGGACGGTAGCCGTCTATAAAAATCAAAGTATGAACGTATTAACTTTCGTGAATCATGCGTGATTTTCGTAGTAAGCTTAGTCTACGCGCTTGACTACTATTTTAGAAACGCAATCACCAAAAGTTCTGACAAATACTCACTACTGTTTTCATTGCACGACGCATACGTTCAGGCGCGGCCATGGAGGCTGATTGCATACATGTTGCTCCGAAAGCCATCTGAAACTTACAGCATGATTCATATACGGAGCCGCATCCAAGCACACGGAGTAGCACGCTTCCTGCTGCACGCAAGATTTTGTGAAGAGCTAGATTTCATAATTTTATGGATCTCCGAATTTTGCATAGGGTGCGCTTGGCGCAGCAATAGAAAACGGAAATGAACGTGTTGAAACGAAGAAAAAAGAAGAAAAGTTGTTACGCTGTTCTGACGTCGGACATAACGCTGAAACTGGCCGTTAAACCATGGCCCATAATTTTCTGGCCTAATGAAACACGGCGAGCGACTTTTGCATGGCTTAAGAAAAGAGAAAAACCAACCCCACGGCCACCATATGCTTGGTTTTCCATTGGCTCCGGCTTGACGTAGAGGGAAACATCCATCGTTCCGAGTTCCGGAATAGTTCCCCCGGCCGAGGGCTGTGCTGTAGACAGAACGAGTTGACAGTTCGCCCAATCTTCACCGGATCCCTGCTGGACTCGGCCATAGTAGGTAATCTAAATCTCAAATATAAATCAGAAAGCTTTGAAACTCACATTCATATGCTTTTCCTCCTTGTTCTCAACACGAATGTCGTAGGCAGGTCGCCAGCTGGCGTTGAACACCTGGTAGCTGACCGTCAGGCTGACCTCACCGGCTTCAGCCGCCTCGAGCACAATGCTGATCACCCTAAAACGCAGACTAATCTTAAACCTCCAAGCTTACTTGACGGATCCTGGGAATGTGTATCGGTGGAGCTCGGTTTGATAGTTGTTCAGGCGTTCTTGGTGTTCCTTTTGTACATCTTCAAGCTTTGACTCTTCGACGCTAAAAATAAAGGGTTTACCCTACGAAACGATGCCATACCTCAAGCCCTCAAACTGCTCAGCGTAGAAAGCAAAGAGAGTATTGACACTGTTGAAAGTTTCATTGCTGATCTGAATCGAGCGGATTCCATCAGTGTTTCCAAGCTTGTTGATAAGCTCATCAAGGGCGGCCTTCTTCTTCTGGAGGATCGTCTTCTTGATGTTGATTGTCTTCAGCTCGCGCTCCTCTTCTTCCACCTTCTGGCGCAGTTCACTCGCCTAAAACAGTATATTACTAAAAATTAAATCTCAAACCTTGGAGCAGTCCTTTTCCTTCGCGGTGGCTTCTTTCCAGGCAATCTGCACCTCGTGGATGAGAGCGTCTCCACTTCCGGAGATTCTAACCGAGTCATCAGCGATATCACCAGGCAAATTCTAGAAAAAGAACGTTTCGAAAAAGAGTTCTACCCACGATGATGTTGATATCATTCATGCCAGCCTCCAGCTTGATGGAGAAATTGCGGCGGATTTCAGCCCGGTCATTGAATACCGTAACTCGCTCGATCGGGGCCGAACGGCATTCGATCATTTGGACGGACGACATTTTTGCTGGAAGATATTTAACTCGTGAAATTAGCGGAGTAGTGATAGAAATCGTGAAGTTGGAATCGATTTCGCAAGCTTTCGGGGTGGAGAGACAGCAAATCAGATTTTTCGTTTTGCTAATGATTTTCGTAAGTGGCTCTAAAGAGCAGGGCTAGAAGCACTGGACGGGTAACCAAGGGAATGGCCCACAACAACGTAGAAACGAGCAATGTACCCCAAAAATCTGGAAAGAGAACGCTACGGTATCGAGCGAAACCGCCGCGTGAGAGCTGTAAAAATGAGTATTCGGGTATTTGCGCCCGCATTTTATAGGCCCAGCCGGGGGGTGAGTCAGCGCCCCTCCCTTTTTTGCTTTTCGAAAAGGGGTCGATTTCGACAGGCTGAAGTTCGGCAGCAAATAGAGGCTTAGTCAGGTCAACATAGATGATTTCTTCCTTGTCAAAACTTGTTAGCATTCCAGAAACTTTAAACAACAAATCGACTACATGGAAAAATGGGAAGAAAGAGCTAGGGAAAATTGCGGTCTCGGGTTCCCGGGGGAGAGGCTCTCTTTAAACCGCGAGAGCGTTGACCTTGGCCCTGCCAAAAAAAGAAAGATGAACGCTGAAAGCAACACGGAAATGCATGGACTTTCCCGAGCAGTGCCCAAACAGATCAATGCTTTCAATTGGGGGGTGTAGGGACCGGGGTTAGGCGGGAGGCCCAGAGAAAAAGCCATAAAACGAACAAAAAATGTGGCAGCGCAAAAAGGGCCAGAAAGAGAATGGGGACAGAGAAGCGTTTTTTGGAGGGTAAGGGGTTTCGGGGCCGGGTTGGCAGATGGAAGTGATTTTCTGAAGCCAAGCAACGGACGCGGGATTTTCTTAGTTTGCCCAATGAAGGAAACAAAATAGATTTGTTCTAAGTGTAAAAATAATAAAAAGGGCGAAAGCAAAATTCCACCGACACGAGATTCCGCTACAAACTACAAGCCTTCAGACGTAAACAATTCAAATGTTATTTTTACGCATAGACGCTGTCGAAGAGCGCCGATCGCCTCACATTAATGACTATATTTACTGACCTCTCACTGTTTTTACGTAATAAATTCTATAATAAAATTTATCAAGTCAAAAACAACAAGGGTACTTCAAAGTAATCGACTAGGGAACGGAGATCATTGGAATCATGGTGTAGAGGTTATGCAAGGATCACAACCAACAATGGCATCACAACTAATAGCTCATTTGTCATTCAACAACTCTGTACAAAAGATCTCATTTTTCTTTTCCCTCTCGCACTTGTTTCGCGAAGAACCAATGCGCTAGTAGGAATTCAATGCCGTTCCATGCGCTAAAAGTTCGGCAAAGTGAGATCATGTATTTTTGATGGCTTACCGTAAGGTCCAAATATAGAAGACTATCCCGATGGCTACATACGCTTTAATCCAAAATGAATGCCACGTGGCATTTATCCAGTAGAGGGTGATGAAGACCCACCATCCAAAAGCTACAGTATAGCCGATGCCAGTTGTTTTTTCCTTAAAATCACCGATCAAGATCTGTAGCTCTTCTTACCGGCCAAACATTATGCTCGACAACTGGCTTGAATTGGCGTTCTCCATTGTAATACCGTTCCAAGGTGGCCTCTTTTTGTCTCCAGAGATTATTTAGCCATTCGATCGCTTGATTCTAAAACCCTAGCTAGTGAAAATATACTAAAACATACGTCTTCTTCGGGAACCGCATCGATATCGTACTTTCGGAAGCAAAAGTCTACTCGCTCTGGGAAATCGCCTTCGGTGATCATCTGCTTTTCACTTTGTACGATATTGACCGGATATGCGATGGTCACATCGTAGATGCAAGAGATGCTTTGGTCTATAGGATCTCATTAGGTTTCGAATTTTTGCTATACTTTCTCTCATTTGCTTCAATATTTCGGTGAAACCAGTAGTCCGTGGGTGCAGAGTGTACAGATATTTAGGCAGCCCTGAAAAGCCTCTATGTTTTTGTCACTAGGCTTACGGTTATTTTCAGCAAATGCGTCGCTAATTTCAATGCTTCTTGTATCACGGTCAGTGCCCTCCGGAAACAGTAAAATCTATAAAATAAAAACATTTACTTCGGTAGTATTTTTTTTACCTGATAGCTCTGCCCACTCTCGGAATAATACTTCAACAACTGGTGCATATTCGCACGATCTTTTTCGATATTCCGTTCCAGGAAGATGTAAGACGCACAACTCATCGCCCAACCAGCTCCTGGTATCTTTTTGAGTCCGTTCTAAAGCAGCTTGAATTTCCACTCCAGCCCTTTTACTTTCAATGTGATTTTCTCCGTTGTTAGCAACCAGGGATCCATTTTGTAAAGAGCATTCCAGAGGAAAAGCCAATCTAACCTAAAACCAACAATAACATTTGTATTTAGTTATCACTAAGTTTACCTTGTTCGATGGTTCATAATAATCAGAGCGGGTTTCTGTCGATCAATGACATCACCGACTAACCGGAACTTGACGCCGTAGACAAATTCTAGTAAAGACTACAGCAAATAAGGGTTGAAAATTATAAATTACCGCTGGAAACGTCAACCAATAGCCAACGGCTCGGTCTGCTATCCTAAATTTAGGAGCTTTAGATATTTTGGGCGTAACCTACCAGCGAAACTGTATTGGAGACAAATAGGCAACCGGAAGGAAGGGTAGCAATATAAAGATGCTGCCCATCAACGAGGTGATAAACACCAAGAATCCAAATAAATAACCCTTGAGCCGCTTTAAAAGCGGTGGACCCATCTGAAAAGCGTAGAGTAACAGCAATTTGGGCATTTTCTTCAAAGCCAGTATTTAGAAAACGTAAAAACTGAAAGGCCTGAAAATCACGCCGTTCGTACAGGACATTTTTGCGCCTGTATGAGTATGCAAGCAAAGTTTGGAGTAGTGTTTTCTATTTATTTTCGGCGAGCAAACGTTATCCCCGAAAACGCGTTCAAATAATTGGGGGTCCCGGCGCGAGGGCCGTGCAACGATCTCACCCCCGGGGGGAACCGGATCCACTGAGCACACAACGGGGTGGAAGTAGGCGACAGCTGACATGATCCCGGGTTTCTTACATAACGTTTCTCATAACCTCAAGGCATTTGGAGCTTTGTGTCATTAGCTAAAGCGTTATTACGTCAATCAAGGACATTTTTTAGTTAGCTTGCTTTCAAAAAAACTCAGAATAATCCTTAGAAACAAGTAAAACATTATAGGTGCATGGGCACGGCGTCAAGTCGTGTCACTGGGTTGTTCAGAAGGGAACCACCCGAAAGTCGAGAACCTGATCCAGATGCACTCCTCTCCTATAGCAGCACCGTCGGTACGGAACCAACGATAATTCATTTGTTAAATACAATAACCTTTCAAAAGCATGACAGTCCTATTTTTTAAGGCTCATTCTTCGGCACTCACTTCTTAATGGGTGGCGAGCGGTACGAATTGGCAAAACCGGAAGCGTATCTATTCGGCGAAAATGCGGATTTGGACATGCTCGGCAATAGAGCAACTGCGGTATTTATTGCCATGCATCCCAGAAAAACCCATTACAGTTTCCATATGCCCGCCAGCCAGTCACTGATCATGTCCGTCCGTTGAACCTCTTTGTAAATATCAGAAAAGAAACTGTAAAATTTGTTCGGTAAGTGGAAACCTATATTTTTGGAAGTTACCGCGATCCAGGTTGAAAAACGAAGACGGGTCCTGGGCCGAAAAGTACCGTTTGGAATTTGTGTTCGATGCTGATTGCGCATGCGGGATTCAAATACACTTTGATGCGCGAGAGGTCTACCAAAAAGATATCCACGAGATGAAGTAGGTCCAAAAGAAAATCTATAAGGTGTTTCCACAGGTTTTTGTATAAGTCACCGCGCCAGAAGACCACCGAGTCATTTCTTTTCGAAGCTGGTGCTGGTCATAACTTTAATCATTTCGTCTTCTCAGGAGAGGAATTCGATTTTTCGCAGGTTTGTTGTAAAACTTCAGCCTATAAACAGATCCAAATTTTAGATGCGCTACGAAGGAGGTCAATTATTCCCAGTCGTGATCGCACTTTCAACTAGTGGAGTTGAAAACGAGCAGCTTCAATGCACGATGTGTAGTGTCGAGGTGAGAATGTCAATTTATATAATTAATCTGAGCTTTAGATCGCGACGGATCATGCTGGGGGGTTTGCCCTAAAGCCTCTTCGGCAACGCGTTGCGTGTGACGGGGTCATTTATTTGCTCCAGGTATGAAAAAACGTTTATTTCTGGTGATACTCATTTTTAAGGAAATTTTCGGACTCGAGAACAAGGAGCATTGCGAGAATAATGAGGATACTGGCTTTGAGTGTATTATTTGCATGACTGAGGTAAGTTTTGGGTATAGGTCAGAATACGCTTTTTGTAGAACATTGACTATTTCTTTTTTTAGATACGCGACACCCTAATCTTGCCCTGCCGTCACTTGTGCATCTGCGCAGGCTGTGCTGAAAATCTACGCTTCAAGGTATCGATTTATCCGAGAGACCACAAACGTTTTTGCAGCTGAATAATTGCCCCATCTGTCGATCGCCGTTCCGTGCGTTATTGACTGTAAAAGCTTTACGACAGGCCGCCCAGCGGGTGGACACATACAATCGAGTGCAGCCGAGGTGAAGAACCTAGTAAAACCATACAAAAAATTTATAGGTATGAATCCCTGACTATCGTTGAGGCTTTGAATGGGACCTTGAATCATCAGCCAATTTTGGGGGAGGAGGCTTCACCAAAATTGACCAGGAATAACCGCGCATCAATGGTACGTTGATTTGCATTTGTTCTATGTTTTATTTTAATTGTCATAATGAACAATATACAAATTTTCTCATGCAGGTCCGCTCAGTAAATGAAGTAGCCGTGGAGACAAATGATGGAATCGAGTTGAAAGAAGCCACCTATTTTGCCCATCGACGCCCATCTTCAGAGGTGGGACACCGCGTAAACCACCCAAAACTAGCTGTGTTTACAGGGCGATTCGACGAGCGAGCGCGAATTGGATTACGCGAGTGCCGAAGACACGGCGTCCAGTCGAAATGAGGCCGTTTCGCATCGGTCGAGCTCATTAAGTGGAAGAGATGTGCAAATACATGTAAGTTTGCATTGATAGTATGCGGTAATCTGTTATTATGAAGCAATTTATGAAATTATCCTTTTAGCGTTGAATTTAAGTTCTTTAACGCTAACCGTAAAGGTATATATCGAAGACGTTAACAGCCAGATAGCGTTTAATGCGTTATATGAATTAATAACTACGGCATTTCATTTTCAGATCGGACAACCCTTCGCACATATCATCGAACCGGATCCAGACTCAGCCGGTGCTGGCTCTGGTGACCCCCTAGTTGGAGCAAAAGATTAGCTTCTACCTCCGACCCTATTTCCCTTAACTACAGGCCCCTCAGCTCTTTCAGTCTACCCGACCAAAAACAACGTTGTGATCCACCATCTGGTGCTAATGCCTGTGCCCTTCCCATACAAAGATACCCTCAACTCCCCCTTTCTTTCGAAATCTACAAGCCCAGAAATACGTGCCTTCATCTCCCATCATCTCCACCAAGTATAGTGGCCTTCCGTCACGCAACCGGGCCCCCCCATCCCTCCCGCTGCTGCTGACAAACACATTTCCCCAAATTTCTTTTTGGCGCTGTTGCTTTCACTCCTCCGGTTCCCCCTCACCTTCGCTAGGCTTTATCTCAAGTACCTTAATTAGTGCCCAGCCAAATGTTTCCTCACAGCATTTACATCCATTTCACTTACCACCCCCTACACTCATGTGTTAGCCCGCTCGGGTTGTCGGTTTCACTTACTTCGCGAAATAAATCTACTTGAATGTGCCGGAAGAGGAGGTGGCCGCATAAAAAGAAACACAGGCATGAGAGTAGTTCGAGGAGAGACATTGAGAGATAGAGAGTGAGATGTAGATGGTTTCGACGGCCCTCGCCGGGCGCCCGCAGATCTTTTTCAATAGAAATTTGTTTTGGGCCGGGCAGACGATTGCCTCTGGGGAGCCGGAGGATGAGACGAGTCTTTCTCCTAGGCGGCCGGCCAGGCTTCTTCCAGCTTTTTTGTCCCTCTCCAGGGTCTTGAACACCAGCCGTGTGCTTTTGAGTTCTGTGTGTCCAGAGCTGGGGAGGTGCCTTTTAGGGTAATTTTAGAGTTGATTGTCTGGTGCCTCGATAATGGGATGCAGGGTGGAGATCCTGGGGGGTTCTCCGGAGGATGAGATCCGGGAGCTGTTTAGCATGTTGCTGCTGCTGGTATTTGGTAATTTACGTTCGGTGTAAGCAGAGGAACTTTTACCGTAATCCTAATCGTAGTTCGAACAGTTTTTTTACTTAAAGAAACTACCATTGCAAATTTGTGAGAAGAAAATTCTCAAGTGGCTATGGATTTGGCAGAGCTAGATGGCTCCAGTGCGTCGAGTTTTGATGACTTGTCAGATTGAGTCCAAGTTTTGGCATCTTTCTGGGATACCAATTTTTTGTGTCTTCCAAAGCTGGTTCTCCTCTAACTTCAATTTTTTGGCATCCTTAACTGCAAAGAAAAACGCGATTGCGTCTAAATGACTCACAGACACGGCTCCATTTTAGCATTTCACTGCCATCATCAGTCTTCATTTTCCATATCTCGCTTTTCATTCCCATCCCAAAGAACCTTATTTTCGGCTCTGCTTTTCGGGCATAAGATGTCCATAGCCAGATGGGCTGATGGGTTCTATTATTCTACGGAAGCCCCTTCCAGATGAGAGACCCGAAGACAAAACCTTCTCAGAAGGGACCACTTCTACTGAGCAGCTAACCTCACTCAAAGTGCTCCTGCTCCTTAGTTGTGTCAGGTTGCGTACGTCAACACTTTCGCATTGTTCCTTCCGAATTTAATTTTTTTAGTTAGTTTTTGCTACGAAAAGGGACGTTACTTTTCAGTTTACATCTCGTGTTCCCCTAGATGTACCCCCATTAATCTCCTAAATGCCAGAAATTCGAGATGCCCGCCGGCGAGCCATTTGGTTTCTAAACTCGGTCTCTGAAAACGGGACCTTTGTATTTTTTTATATACCCATTCTCAACTAGAAGGCTTGCGTAGGCAAACCTTCACCCCACAAAAAACTAGTGCTCATTTGCTGTTTTTGACAGCTGCCTCCCCCTGGGCTTTTAGTGGCCTTGAATTAGGCAGCGCTTCGCTGCTGGTTCCTATATTCTGACCTGAAAAAATTGATCAAAAAGCGTTTGTCTCCATTCAAGCGGATATTTGGGTTCAGGAATTGGGGGCATTCTAGGGTCATCACTGGGAATGGGCCGATCCAACAATGCGACTAATTGAGTTCGGCATCGAGCCCTTCTACCCCCTCGGGCTTTTCGCTTTGTTCCCAACCCAACCTAGTCCATGCCCCCCGACACACACCCTTTTTCCATTTTACCAAAATCGGCTTTGTTTTTCATGCCTTGGGATGTATCCACTTCCGGGATTCATAAATTACCTCCTCCTATCCGTTCTCCCCAAACCCAAGATGCCTGGCCCTCGGGCTAGGAGAACAAAAGGAGGTCGCAGTTTTCTCGTTTGGGAACGACTGAATAATTAATCAGGAGGGAAATATTTCAAAGAAGGACCTCGGCGCCCATTTCGGGTCCTCAAGTGCCGACGCACAGCCCATATTGCCTTGCCCACGCCCTTGCCATCCACAAAGCCTTGTTCCGGCCCAACAAATCTTATTCAGCGGTTTTTTTCCTTAATATTATTTGAATTCTTACAAAAAGTTTGCAGGATGGTTGATGTGGAAGCGGGAAAGAAGGAGAAGGGGAGGTTTATTCCAGAGCTGCAGCTCAGCGTCACCAAGTTCAATGACAGTGAGGAACAGGTAATTTTGAAGGATGATTTGAAAATTAGGATTTCTAGATGAAGCTGATGATGTGTGAAGAGATGCCGAGTGGATATATGGAAAATGAAGAATTTGAGACAGAGTATTATCCAAGCCAGGAAGAGATATATGAGGTAAAAATATTTCATAAATCCTGAACCCGCGTTTTTTTTAGTTCGTCTGTCTTCATCGGATATGGCGATGTCCTCGAGCTTCCCTTTTGGCTTTTTCACTGCTGCTGGGTTTGGCACTCGGGATCGTCGTTTTGGTATGCATTAATGGACAACCCTCAAGCATCATTCTTGAAATATTTGGCTTTTGGAATATTTAAACCCTCGTACTTCACGGGCGCAAAATCTCATGAATTGCACGCTTCAAAATCAAAAACTTTCCAAAAATCTTCTCCAGTTTTGTGTTCTGGCAACGGACCCATACAAGGGACATCCATCAAATTAGAGGAGCCGCCCGATTCCATCGCAACGAAAGCACAATCCAAAAAAAAGGAAAAGGGCGGCTAGAGGCTTGTTGCGCAGTCAGAGCTCACCTAGCTAGTTGCAAGCTGATGTTAAATTAAAGATACCTTGCCGGAAGGAAAATCTGCAACTATTTTAATAAACAAAAATAGATGAAAAAAGCGTGCTTTTCAGGTGGTGGTGATGATCTGCACCTTTCTCTCATTGTCCAAGGAGAAGCCATCCGGGCGTGAAGACGTGCTGGGTGTAATCAGTTGGCTCCACTATCCGGTTGGGGATATTGCAATAAGGAGGGCGAATCATACAATGTCTGCCTATCAGCACCTCAATAATTTTCATTATTGAAGTAAAATGATAAGTTTTGCTGATGTGTACATTGCTGCATTCAACCGTTGATTTTATGTGTTATATTGTGAAATATTGTGCAAAAATATTTGAGTTTCATTGCTCTCAAACTAGCGTGTAGCAGCGTGAAAAATTAATTGAAACATGGGGATTTTAATAAATACTAAAAAGAACCCTTTAAGAGAAAGTTACAAGGCACAAATTACTACCAAAGACGTCATAGCCCTTAAATAAATTGTTTTCTAAAACATGTACCACTCGTCCTCCCCAAACATGTTTCGTCTGCTCCTTTTTCCAGAACCCCCAAAAAGTGGGCCGTTCCCCAATTTGTTTGCCTCAAATCTCCGTTCCCCTCCTCGTGCTCCCCCCTCATTCAACCCTCCAGAATTATCTTGACAGCATCTCCAGTGCCTCTGATCCACTCTCTCAGCTGTCTGCACCACAACACGAGACATCACCAAATTTTTTATTAGCACAGACCCACAAAATAAAGCAACGTAATAATGCATAATTGCAGCGGATTGGTTGTGACCTTCAGCTTCTTTTTAGCCAACACTGGTGGCTATGCGGCTGTCGATTTCGAAGCGAGTGTGACGTCCGAATTCAGCGGCTTTCTGTAAAGAATTGAACTCTCGGATACTGTATTCTGATCTAACCTTCAAATGTGCTAAGGTATCGTCGATCACTGGTGGAGAGGGGGACATAATGACGGGCTTGGCCTCTTCCACGGTCACTTTCTTGGAGATTACCGCCGGCTCAGGGCGTTTTTTCACGCGCATCATAATCTGGAAATCATTTTGATGGAAAGTTCAGAAATTACCGAGTCCAGCGAGTACACGAGAATGCCGTGCTCGGTTTTCGGTGTTTCGGCAAGGTTTAAGGAGTATTTGCGGAGGAGCTCGACAGCGGCCAGCTTGACTTCTGCGGTTCCGAAGTGCCTGGAAAGACGATTTTAAGAAGCTGATAATGTAGCTACCGTCCAGGGCATACACGTGGCGCTCCGTTCTGGCCGAAAGGTGCGTAGACTTCGAAGAGGTTCTCAGGAAGGCGCTTGTTTAGAGGGTTCCAGCTGGAATTTTGTATAATCCGAGCTGTTAAAATCTAGGATACCGCTCAGGGTCGAACATCTCGGCATCTTCGCCCCAGTACTGAGGATCGCGGTGGATTTGGTAGTAGTTGGCATAGACGTGGACACCCTAGAAATGATATTTTCCATATTGAGGATATCACTCACCTTTTCAACGATCAGCCCATCATTTCCAACCTTACAATCTTCCATGCATTCACGGGAAATAGCCCTGAAAGGCAGATACTATGGATCTTTTTTGTGCCTTTATTTTATCTTTTTATGCCCTTCTTGAAAACTTACGCAACAGCGACCGGGTGAAGACGTTGATTCTCCTTCAAACACCAATCTAGGTATTCCATAGTGTTGACCGTATCCAAGTTGATGTCTTGCTGAATCGAAAACTTAATAATATGAAACCCTATCATACCCTGGATTGGATGAAAGCATCAATCTCTTGTTGCAGACGTTCTTGACATTTCGGGTGAGCAGCGAGCGAATAGAAGAACTGCTTCAGCGTCGTGTGAGTCGTTTCGACAGCGGCCAAGATGGTCATGGTTGACATGGAAAGGATTTCTTCTTCGGTCAATACTTTGCGGATCTGGATAGCAAATATATGATTAGTGAATGACTTTTAGATATTACCTGGGTCTGGAACTTTGCTTCAGCCTTCTGGTTCAACAGCCTCAATTCCTTCAGCTCCTCATCTGGGGCACGGTAGTCAACGAACAAATCGAGAATGTCTCCAGCCTACAAAATCGGATATTAACTAGCATATTATTAACATACAGCATCTCCGGGCTTTCTGTTGCGCCTCTTCTCCTTGATAAGCCGCGCCATCCTGGACTCAATCTTATACAACGGGTTGCGGATGAGCATGCTGAGGAACTTGTGGAAGTATTGGGTGTAGTCGGAGAACTCGTGGGTGGACACTAAAAATCAAAGAATTAGATAATCAGATATTTGTCTACTGTAGAGACGGAAGAGGGGGTTCTCCCAATAGCTGGGCGGGTGGAAGAAGAGGTCGATGAGGCGCGAGACTTCTGATGGGCCATTTCCGAAGGTGGAGACTGGCTTTCCGACGCACAATCGTTCGATGATATCCGAGATCCATTCCAGGGTGAAGCTAAAGGCATAAATAGTTACTTTGAATTTTCCAAAATTTTTGTTGAAAATTAGGCCGATGTGGTAACTCCACCGTAGCAATCTAGGTTCCAAAAACTGAGAGCAACTATTTACGGGCCGCAAAAAGCCTAACGCCGTGAAAAAAAAACATAAATGGGATTTTTAGGAAAATAGAAAGTAAACCGTTTGAACCTACACATGGAAATCGATTGGCTGATGACAGTTCTTTTCAAGCCAAACCATGACGTGGTTGTTAGAATCGCGGAAGACGGTCTAAATTTTAAATTGAGTTTTGAAATTTTGATAATTATTTCATACCTGGTGAACACGGGTCATTTTCTGATTAAAAGACGGCTCGAACATAGCCCTCAAACGCTTCCAACGAAGGCCCCTCGAGATAAAGACAGAAGCCCGCTGATCGGTGTCCGGATTGAAGGGGAACGGATTGATCGACTAGACGAAACCATAAGCTCCCCAAGACTGAATCTTACCTTGCGCCCGTGGAACTTCTCAAACTTATCAACGTACACATCCCGAATCACGTCAAGCCGAGAAGTGAGGATGACCTTCATGCTCCCTTCATAATATCCCATCAGGTCGCCATATGTTTTCGCCCATTCCTGGACATTTTTTGTGTGCGGCATGCGGCCATCGTGTAAGGTTTTCAGGTTACCTGGATTCAAATTTGGTTGAAAAACATAATCAATTACCGCTGAAGATGCTGTCAACTGGAGGGGTGGGGATTCCGCGACGTTTGAAGTATTGCTGCCGATTCCAGAGGTAAAAGTATACAGCCGATACTCCGAGGAGTATCGAGGCCCAGAGTTCGGGTGCGACTAGAAGCCACAGCATAGCTAAAAACAGCAAGATAAATTTTTTTAATTTTGAGTACGAAGAGCGAAGTGAAATATAGGCTTTTATCGCTAATAAAATGTGGTTGCTAATCGATCGCTATCCTTTATTAAAATCATCGTTTGAGTAAATTCACCCTTACCTTCGATATGAGACATTGAAATGTGAATAAATATAGAGTATTAAATAAACTCGTTAAGCTAACAGATGAACGAGCGGTTTTTTTGAATTTTACTAGAGCTTAATAGAAGTCTTCACCAAAAGCTTTGGTTATAAAATTATTAACGCAATTCTGGCTCTGTTTTAAACCGTAAAACGAAATTTGTAAAAAGATGACGTTTCTAAATGTTGATCGTGGAGAAACCCCCAAGGACGAAAATGCTTGTCTCAGCCCTCTAATGACCCGCTTTATGTAGTGACGATGTTGAGGCTCCGCCCGCTGCAATTTTGCTCGTTGAACCCAAGCCTCTCGGGTGAGGGAGATCCATCTGTACCATCCTATGGCCACAAAAACAGATATTTGCTAGCCCCTCTGTCACTTTTCGCCCCGAATTACCATCAAATCGCAACCCTCGGTGTGGCGACAAGATGGAACACATGTCTGGGGGGCCCTTCTCCTTAAACACACGTTCGGAGTGAACCATGATGGACGAGTCCAAGGTACCGTAGTAAAAAAATTGAGCGCGGGTAGATGAGGAGTGGTTTCAATTTTTATTGGCCGAAAACGTGTTAGTCGGACACATTCAAACACATTCACAAAGCTATACAGACCTGAATTTTTTTATTAATGCTGAACAATTAGGATTTAACTTTCATAAAAAATGCAGCATCAAAAAATAGTGGTAATCCAATAAAAGCAGCACAAAATCTCCATATAATGTATATATGACAAAATAGTGAAATTCATTAAAAATTCACAACATCAAACGATTTTTTGTGACGGGATGCAAACTGGCTGTAAGCCAAAAGTTTTTGCGGATCGCTGAAACTGATGAAACGCTCTTTCATCGTACACTGAACTGGCGAGAAGAAACAATTTCTTGGCGGTTTCACAGGCGCACTGAAATATCTTGTTAGAAACGTTGTCAAATTCAATCATTCCGCAAAACTGACCTCACCTCAATACAACGAAAGCCGGCCTTTTGACCAACAAAAATTCACAGCTACACAGCCAAAAGAAGGCGAAGACGATTAGCAAAGTATTTTGACGACTCCGTCGGTCAGTCCGCATTTCAAAAGTTATTCGGAAGTTTTAGGGGAATGAATGCCCAGTCAACGATTATCCCCCTCAAATACCAATAACCCTTCAGAAGGCGGGGCGACCGGGGATTTACCATATGCGGCACTTACGCGAATTGTTTTCGTTTTATTGTCATCTAAGTCGCGCGAGGGAGTGGGCTTGACGGGGACTCTTCGCTTTTTTTACTTCCAAAGGCTTTCGTGTACGGGTAGGGGGAGGGGTGGATTTTGAATTATGAAGTTGTGGCCGGGAATAGGGAGGGGGGATTGACCCGGATTCGCGTTGCCGTTTATGGGATACGGTACACCTAGGAGCAGATGACTTTCGGTAAGTGGTGCGAACCGTCACAAGGCCACAATGTGCCGTGGGCTCAAGGCCATGCTTGGACGTCACCTTCAATTTCGAGGTGAAAATCATCCTAACTAGGTGTTTTGTCAGTTTGGGTTCGACCTCACTCAGAAAGTCGAAGGATTTGCACGAACGCGAGGGGCTATTCTAGGATTTTGAGTGGGAGGCATGCATATGGGACTTTTCAAGAATATCTTTGGATGTTCTGGATATTTTTGATATTCTGGCTTGATTCTTGTGTGACTTTTCAAAGTTTGGTTTAGTTACCAGGTTTCGGACTTCGGGCAACTAGATTTTTATTTTTTCTGCCACACAGTATACATTCTCAGTTTCAAAGATTTACTCTGCAATCCGGCAAAAAGTTTTTGATTCCTATTCTTCAAATCTCGGCCTAACCCCAAGTCCGGGCGGCGGGGGTTAAGTTAGGATATTGGGGGTTTACGAGTAGATCCGTGAGTGGTCTCCTGACCGTAAGAACCTTCGGGAAAGATGAACTGGCTCTCTTCTGCAAAAAAATAGTTGCGTTTGGATGGAAAATAATCATTATGGTATGAGAATTCCAAAGGATCTAGCAGGGAACAGAATGCACATCATGTTATTCTGCTGGAAAGTGTACTTATCCGGACTTTACAATATAGTGAATGATTTATTTATGGGCCAGTAATCAAAGCCAGATTATACTTCTGTGACATCGTTGCTCACCACTTTGACGCAATTCTCAAGGTAGGAGTGCAGTCTGAAATCGACAGGTGTGCGTAATTGAATTTTTACTTACATGATTGCCACATGCAATGAGAGTGCAGAAATAGAGATATTGACCAGTAGGAATAAGGCAAAACCCGCGCGTTGAGCAGTTGCTATAAAGATTTTATTTATATCTGCAAGAAGACAGACAAGCATGAAAAACTGAACAAAATAGTCAATGAGAAATTTTGACCGAAATAATCTTTTGCCCCCCAAAGTATACTAGCTCCAGAATCTTTAATTTTACGTCATAATAAACGCTTACATAGAGGTTCCAAAAACATTAGCATCTTCGTCCGAAGCCAAGAAAATTGAAAAATTCCGCTAATACTTTGTAATTGAAATAGCGAATAGAGAAATAACATTAAAACGACCGCCACAATCACTATCGCTGTTATCTAAAAATTGAATTACGCCTTTGAAAGGTGAAACAGACCTGATGAACGATAAATGGCCTTACGCTATAGGAGAAGTTGCTGAGAATAGCATAGAGGAATAGTCCGATTGTGATAAAGCCAAAGACGACTGGGATAATCCCCATTAGCATATCTCCAGAAGTGACGCCGCATCCTGAATTTTTTTTGAACGAAGCAAATATTTTGTTCACCTCGAAGAAATATGAAAAAATTGGCAAATATTTGGAACGCATTTGCGCACGCGGCTGCAAGACCGGCGTGCTAAAAATAAGCCTTGGATCCCTGGCTTGGAATTGCTGATACCTTTGCGGTTATCGAGGAGATAAATAGCTTTTTGTCGACATTTGGACGATAGCGAGGAGCAGGGCGCTCTTCTGAAAAAATAGGACATTATTGCTTGGGATTACTTTTGACGTTAGTGTTTTTGGATCAATACAAAAGGATCACAATACCTACCAGAATCAGTCTCACTGCCCGGGTGGACGTAATTCGTCGAAAATGACCTCGAATACGGTGGTTTTCCACCGGATGCCGTCACCATCAACGGCCGCTCCTCCACTCAAAGACCCTGACGGAAAGCCGTGCTCCCTGAAACCCAGCCAAACTCACTAATTGCTGTATGTGACACATTGAGAAGGCCTTCAGGGCATCCACCCTTCCGATGCCCGAACTCATAATCACGCGCTCGCATGGAAAACGAGAAGAAGGCAACTGGTTGGGGAGCAAAAATAACAACACTTTTGGCCTTGCTGGTAGCCTCAAATTTACTGGATGGTAGTTAGTCGCAGGAGATGTGTAGGGAGCGTAAATGGGAGGAATGAATGTTTTCAAAACTTGCCCGCACGATGCCTAATGAAGAGGGGGCGCGAAAGGGAGGCCGAGCATTGTTGTCGAGGAGCATCTTCCAATGCATGCGGCAAAGCGGGGGGAAAGATGTGCGATGAGAGCCCGGAATAAATTCACGGCGGTCTCATAAAGAATTCGGGATGTATCAAATGGTGAGAATTGGGTCTTGCGAAGACATCACTTCAAACGCCTTCAATAGCTAGCGAGCTTTGAAACGCTAAAATTGAGGGTATCTCGGCTGTTCGGGCAGGCTAAAGTCAAGGTAAGCAAAATTTGGTGGCAACCATATAATTAAAGGACGGGGAAGAACAAGAATTTGGGCGGCGAAACCAGTAATTCCATTTCCGTGTCAAGGGGCCGTCGTAATCCTGGATGGTGGTGGTCGAAAAGCCGGAAGTTGATGGGGCAAAAATAAATCTGTGCTCATTGGGATGAAGTCCGGGATAGGAAAAAAGGATCTCTAGATGCTGAAAAATTCGAGTTTTATATTGGGTGTAAAAAATGGCCTTAAAACGTTCTTCCTGGGCGTTTTGGAGCAGTGATATTGAAGCCACCCACAACCGGGGTAAAATCTCAGAATGTTATTAGGCTTCCGATTCTTATTCAAATTTCCCAATTTGGTATGCAAAATACATTAGTGATTTATTGCAGAAGAGTGAGAAAGATCAAAGTGATACCTATTTCTACGCTTACGATGCAATTTGCAATTTTGGCTAGGAGCTGGCGGCTCCATGAAATCCTGGCATTTGAACTCAGATTTGCCTTGGAAAAGGGCCAATCACGATATTGGAGTCAAAATGTAGTTTGGAAAGCTCAATTTCGAGCAAACTAAATCATTTCTGGTGTTGGATGTCTACTCTTTAGCGCCTCCCAGCCAGTTTCCGTCACAAAGGGAAAGAAGAAGTGTGAATCCGCGGAACTGCGTCTAACAGCCCGGCCATCCGGCATCCTTACCAAGTAAATAGGGAGCGCCTAGTGCCGAGATTGCTCCCGAAAAAAGGGCTGGCTTGAATCGCGGAGTGCTAGCCGTGGAGGAAGAGTTAGTGAATGGATGTCCAATGCACAATTAATGAGGAGGAACAGCGCTCTATCTTGCCTTGATTCCGGAAAATTGCCTTCCTAGGCTTGTCGGGGGCCCATGCACCATCTTGTGCCCAGGGCGATTGGCTTGATTTTGGGGGGAATATTTATGGTTGAGGGGCGCTCTTTTAGGCTATGGGTGTATGTAAAGCAAAAAAATGATTTCCGGAAATGCTTAAAAGGCAAGCATTTTTCACCTGTTCGAAGCGAAATACCAGGTTGCCTCATTGAGGAAATAACCTGTAGTTACGCGCTAAATGCTATTTGTTGCCCAGAAACGGGGAAATTGACGCAACAGGCCAGTAATAGACGCAACCATTCCAAGGATTTAATAATTAAATCGCACTTTGGAAGGGAGCCGACGGCGTGGGCCACGCTGTGCCATTTGGAGCGGGAAAGCGAACGCTGCAGATGACTCGACGGCTCGAGGAAGATCAGGTTACACCGAGGGGGATGATATGTCAAATAAACATAAGGACTGATCTCTTAAGGTTCCTGGGGATTCGGGTATTAAATGGGTAAAATATTATTGAATAGTTGATCCGGAGCGCATTTTAGGCGAACAGAACTTAGAACCCGGATCTGTAAGACAATTCTTGTCCACGGGCTATGAGCAACTCCACCAAGTGCTGGCCACTTATCAATAATTCAAATATACATAAACAAACACAAAGTTGTGGGTGGAGAATGTCGAACGTGTTGGATTTCATCCTGGCCAGACGTCGATATGAAGGAAATAAATATTTGATCCGCCCCTATGCAATTAGAGGAGGGGCAGAAAGACCAGCTGTTCCCGGAAAGCATGATTCTTAAAGAAAGGGGTCCGGAATCAAAACTAGGGGAAAGTCATTCATTAGAATGCCTGGAGACCCCCCAGCTGTGTGTGCGGGCTGGGGGTTTGGCGTCTTGGCGGAGGGGGAGTTTCAGATTGGCTCTTTTTGCTGGCGGATGCCTCTCCTCTACAAATCAAATCTTTTGCTAGGCTTGGTTCTTTGGGCATACTGGTGAGGGGATGTAGTTTCGGTTGAAAGATTAACGAAGTGGTGCTCTTCGGGTTCATTTATTCAGTTCATAGTAAAAAAAGAAGAAACGAAAATTGTAGCTATGCTGAGGAGTTTCCTTATTTTTTGTAAATTAAAATTCGTCAATTAAAATCGAGAATTTTTTTATTTATTGCATAGTATCAAACGAAAAAAGTAATTCATAGACATGATAGTAAATTTTCGGTTGTCGTTGCACATGGAAAAAAGAAAATCATAAATCAAAGCTAGACGCGATCTGGAAGCTAATGGCCGCTTGCAAAAAGCTAAGAAATGCTAAGCGGTGTCCGCTTACACGACAACAAGTATCAGGACGTAGTGAATTAGGCAGTTGTCTCAGCCGTCGTCTGACCAACCGATCCCTCAACAACCCTCTCCTCAATCCGCTCATTCACGGTCGGATAAAAATCCTGAGCACGAGGTCCAAAAATCATGCGCCTAATATCAATGTTTCGATTCGGATGGGAAAAATCGCGAAAAGGGATCATGTTGGCCGGGGGCTGCCGGGTGGTGGTAGCAAAACTGGGGAGGAACTCCTTCCGAAGAGCCGGGTTGAAGCAAACAAGCGTCCCAAAATGGAGCCACATAATCACGTCCCAAACCCAGAAATAGTGCCAGTCGAGATGTGCGATTTGTTCGTGTTTCTTGTGCAGCACCAGGACGTAACGAGTAAGCTGACAAAAATTTTTTGATCCATTTTAATTTGCATAATTACCTGTATGGCAGTTAATGGCAGCGTCAAAGCAAAGTTGAAAGCTGTATGATACGGTAGGCTCGAGTCTCCCTGGAACCCGAGACGTACCCGATAGCAGTTGCGAAAATTGAGCGTGTGCATGACCGAACCGCTGATAGTCACAATCAGACAGACCGTCATGGTGACGCAGTTCGAGACCGAAAATGTAAAGATTTTTAAGGCATAAGTACGGCAAACGATACCATCCCGTAGGGCTCCGTATAAGTGATCCAGTCGCTATGCCAATCCTCGACACGTTCAACCGTGAATTTGGCTGGAAGTCTGGGCAGGATGCAGATTCCAGCAAAAATTGGTGCCATGGCGTAAGGCCAGCGCTTTAGAGCGTGCCAAAACTATAGGAATTGGATTAGGATAAGATTATAATTAGGAACTTACCAATACGTGTCTATGTGTGGCAGCATGGATAGATGTGAATCGATTCACCGTCGCTAAGAACACCGAGGCGTACAGGTTGTAGAATGAGAGGAAAGAAAGCATATGTGCGGTGCGATATAAGATGTCGTCGAACTGCACAAAGATTAAATTTGAATACAATCCATTTCCACACCTGTGCTGGAGCTCTTGGCATTAATAGATAATGTCTTAAGAGTAGGTTCGGCAGGACGGAAATAATATCACCTACGCCTAAAAAACATAGATTACACGGATTATGTAAAATTTAACTTACATCTAGCAACAAATATCTTGAAAAACGCCGTCGCCAAATGGTATCTCTCACTAACCACCACCCGATAGACCACAATAGCCATTAGTGCACACATAAACGCTTCAATCGATGGCAGCAGCTCGTAAAGTAACCCGTAACTCATTGTCTAAACATCATTCACAATATGGAAACGCAAAAACAATCCCGCCGAAAATCGTGTTTGGTTTTTAGTCCGGACCCGAACCGGTATCCGCAATTTACCTAGGGTCCCCCCTGGGATTTCTCTGGCATAAAGATGCCCACCATCTATACTTAATCAACAGCCATTGCAGATTACGCTAATTATTCTACCCTACATTGTTTGAACTTATTTAAATGTCGATTTTTTTCTGTTTAGTACAATATATCTACGCCCAAAAATAACGTTGAATTTCGGTGAGCAACTTGTAAAATATTTTAACGATACATGTCCGGGGAAATTTGAGAATTTTCGAAACAAGTCATTGTTTTCCGGGAGGGTGATTGGGTCCAATAAATGGCTGGCGGGGCTACAATCCGGACATCATCTTACAAGGCGAAAAAAGCTTGCTATGACCACGGTATTCAAAGACGCAAATGGTGGTGCTTTACGCATGTGAAAACCGTCTGTTCGTAAAGCTGCCTTTTGGCGGTGAACTGCATGTTCAAGGTTTGAAAAAAATCTTTACTTGAAATCATTTGCATAAATGGGGAGAGGATAGGATCAAGTTTTTGAATGCAAAGCTCATCCGCAGCGCTTTTTCTAAAATCAAATAAAAACGCAACAAACCGATCAAAAGGTGGAAACATAAAAATTTGCACTTTATTACATATCGTTTCGGAGGTGATTTTCATTCAAAAACAGGTCAAGTTCAATGTTGATAAATCAAGGAAAAAAAGAGATGGATAAAATCAAACTGTCTAAATAGCTCCCCAAAAACTGGTTGCGAAACCGTGTAAAAGCAGCTATTACAATTCAAAATGGATTGAGGTCCGGGTTCTCACTGTATGGCGGTGGGGGCGGGTAAAACATTGCAGTTTCGGGGGCTGTTTCTGTTATGAGATTGAGGGAAAAGCCTATCGGGGCGATCTTGCGTGAGGGGAAGAATATTTTGCGGACCGGGTCGTTGGTGAGGGCCAACGAGAAGAAATTGGCGGCGATGACTAAATCGTTGATCCAGAAATAGTGCCAGTCGAGTTGCCGGACGGTTTTGTAGTCGCCAAAGATGTAGTAGAGGAAGCGGTTAATCTGAAAGAGGGGTAAATATTAGAGCTCGCCATAGTCAATTTGACCTACTCTGAAGCTCTGCCTAAGCTTCCGGTTTTATTAAAATCTCCAATTTTCTGCGCGAGACCAGATGATATGAATAAGCCCGTTCAAGAGCCTACCACCACTGATACCTTAACCGCTCAAAAAATTGCAAAAACCTGAAGGGCTGTCATGAGTAGCGTGAAAAAAGAGGTGATGGCTGTGTGAGCGGGGAGGCTGAGGCTGCTACGGTAGAAACGGCAACAGATGAAGATTGCGGTAGCCATGCACCAGTTCATCCCGATTGACACGAGCGTGAGGGCAAAGCAGATGGCGATCGATTGAATAGCCGCAATCTGGATTTTACTTGTGAGCCAAACTTTGTGAGCACCTACAGTTCCATAGGGTTGCGCTAGAGAGATCGGGTCGGCTCGCCCATCGCTGAAGTAGAAGACGTCGAGAGCGACAGGGATTTGGTAGCTGGTGCAGAGCAACCCGAAGAGGAAGGCTAAGATGTAGCAGTACCGTCCAAGGGCCCTCCAGCGCTAAAATTATTTCCTTTCTAAAGGTATCGATGTCTTTACGTCCACGTGTTTTTGATGCCCCATAAACGTCGAGGTCATCCGATTCAACGTTATTAACAGTAGCGATCCATAGGTCCCGTAGAAAGTGATGGTCGATACCGTATAGGCCAAGCGATAGATCGATTCGTTGTACTTTAAGAAACAATTAAATAAGCTCAGCAAAAAAATCGGTACTATTCAAGTTGGGGGGCAAAATTTTTTTGCGGCCAATTTTCGTCATTCTCGACTATTTTGTTCAGTTTTTGATGCTGAATCGAATGCAACTGTTTTTAAAATTTATTGGATGATAACAACGTAACAATTAGGTCAACAAAATAGCATAACAACCTTCACTCGCAGGGATAAACCTCCGTGACGTGCGACCAATAATTAAAGAACGGATCATTTCCAAATTCTTGTCGCCATGTGAACTCGGCGAGGTAGTCCTTGTAGCGTTCATTTGAGCGGACATTGATCCCATGTTTAGCCTTAAGCATCTTTTTGAAACGCATCCACATAGCCTCGATATTCTGCGTGTGGCAACCATTGTTGGGGTTGATGAAATTACGCTGGTGATTGACTTGGTAATGCTGGAAAGCGTGGGGCAGCAGCGTCACACCGTTGTATGCGCGCCACATGTCAGAATGAATAATGCTACCCGGTCGCACGTGCTTCTGGAGAAGTGGCAGAAGAGTGGCCGCATCACGTCGATCGACTAACTCCATGAAACCTAGCTGCGATCCTCTTTCGACGCCCCCAAACATCCACATTCTCTTTTGACCCGGGATCCGACCCCTGTTATACTTCCGCTTTGAGATCGCGGTTTCATCAATTTCGATGATGATTCCCGGACCGCCGATCATGCGCGGGTGCTTGTCGAAGTATTTCACGAAGATATCCCGAATCCATTGGCACCATTGATGGCAGGTTTGCTCCGAGATATTGCATTGAAATGCGATTTCCTTTTGAGTTGAGTGCATGCGCAGATAAAGATAAGTAACGAGCATGACCATTTTTGGCGTGATGTGGCACTTCGCGAAGAAAGTGCCGGTGTAAAAGCCGAGACGACGCTGGACACCACCTCCCCGACAAGTTCCCTTGTTGCATTCCCATCGAGGTACGCCGTCGGCGTGTCCTCCGGTGTAACGCTTCATCGCCGTGATGTGACAATTGGGGCATGTACGTTTCGAATGCAAGAGGCCCAGATCTTGAAACCAATCCTCAAGTTCCTTGTCTGACTTGTGGATTTTCGGCATGAGCTCGAGCAGGGTTATGTCGCGCAACGCGTCGATTGAGTTGGCCATGGTGTTGACCAAATTAAATGCGAAAAGTAAACTTTGAACGCTCCCATTGCCTTTTATACCTCTATCGAGTGTCTTTAGGCATCATTACTGTATACCGGCCGAAAACCCGATGATAAAACTACTGTTAAAAATATTGCTAAAATATTCAGAAAAGCGAATCCAATAATTTTAAAAACAGTTGTATTCGATTCAGCATCAAAAACTGAACAAAATAGTCGAGAATGACGAAAATTGGCCGCTAAAAAATTTTGCCCCCCCCCCCCCAACTTGAATAGTACCAAAAAATCACCTGTTCGGCACCACGGTATTGAAATAGGTAATGCCTCAGGACAATGTTGGCCACGATCGATAGAATGTCGTTGATTTCTAGTAAAGGGTCGTTTTCCTAGTGTCACCGCCAAAGCCTGTTTGTGCTGAATTTTTACTGATTAAAACGTAGTATTAGAATCTAAAAAGCCGCCTTATTAAACAAAGTATCAAGGCTTAGCCCAGATTGCGATAAAAAAGCCCAATTTTCTCGCTGTTTAAACCTAAGTAATCTAATCTTGCCATATTTCAGATTTAAACGGTTTGGTAAAACCAGCAAAAAAAGTCTGTATAAAATAAGCGTGGTCCCGTTTGAAAGCAGCAAAGTCACGAGAAAAAAAATCTCCATTTAGGTAAGTAAAACTACGCTGGGCCCAAAATCAATTCGTCATACCTCTCGCCACCCATATTTTGTAGAACGGGTCCCGAAAAATCGGGCGCAAACTATCGGTTACTCTCCACGCCACATAGGCCATCGACAGTATTTGAAACGCCTCAAACCAGGCAACGGTCGTGTAAAAAGTCCCATATTCCATGATGGCAAGAAGTCAAATCGGTGGCCACTTTTTTGACGGAATGGATCTTGAGTGGACCGTCGGGCAGTCTTTCTCCTCCCCTTCTGATTCCCTCGAGGGAAAAGCCCCCCTCCCAACTAACTGTAATGGTACAACAACTTTTTCTTTGCAATGCCTCCCCACCGGGAATTCTAATTGAATCTGATAGGTGGGGGGGTCGAAGAAAGAAATTGTAGGGGGTTGCCCAAAAAAATTCTTTATCTAGGAAATACCCGTAGGTCGATGGGGGGGGTTGAAGGCAAACAACTTCTTTGGTAGTGTAAGAACAAATTGTAGCGCAAGGTTTGGCAGAAGGGGTGAAGGTGTAGAATTTGAAATTAGAGTTTAAAATCAGTGATAAAATTTCACAATACAAGAAAGGCAAAATAATATGGCAGGGAGTAGCACCAAAATGAAATATTACAGACATGACTAAACTGCTCACAAAGGCCACGATATGGCGATCACAAAATGACAAAGAAATGCAGTACACGCCAAAATAGTAGCACTTAGAAGAAATAGAATAGAGAAGAATGATTTCCGGGGGTAGGCGCTGGTTCCTGATTGTAATTTGGATCCACAAAATCGGAATATCCTCCCGGGCTTCGGTGACCTCCACCCTCTAACGTGCTGAACCACCAATTGCAGCTGATTCTCGGGTCGTCCAGTGGGAAATCAACCCAATGAGGCGGCATCCAGCAGGCCATCTTAAATTTGATTTAATACGATATTCAAATCAGTTATTTCATTAATTTTCCGTCCCTTCCGGCCCCTTTTTAATCTCTACTCAATCTTTCATCAACATTGCTTGATTTGTTAGATATTGCTAACCCGAAAACAGAAAAATCGGGCCGTTTTTCCCTAAGGAGTCGATGGAAATCCGTAATTGAAAGCGGAGCTTGTGACGGCTTCATTTGGCTAGTTAGCTACTTCAGTGTGCGCTTTTTCGAAATTTGCGTGAGCTTTTGGTCTACTTTTTAGACTGTTTTTGGATATATTCAAAGAATTTAGCGATGAAAAGTCAAAGTATCTAGGTTAATCAGCCGCCTAGAATCAACTTGAGAAGGAATTTTTGCAGCCTGAACTGAATCTAATTATCATTTTTGCACAGCACCATAGGTGTGATTTTTCTGATCTGATATCGATCTCTGACTCACATCGGTATGCGGCACCACCCTACACCACGAAACGTCTAGACTTCCCAGCAGCATAAACATCGGGAAGACCATCACGAATCCAGAGACCTAAAACAAAAAAAATCACGAAGTGTTCAAAGCCCAGTTAAAAGATCCATGTGCGCTTTCCAAGAAGCTCTGCATCTCCTCTACCTTCCAATTATACTGTCCTATGTACCCGCCCGAACAACGCGCTACCCTATCCCCATGGGTCACTGACGTTGCATTGTGCTTTCCGGGGAATATTATAATTTAAATATATCTATTATAATATAAAAATGTGTAAACTTGCCGAGATTAGGATGGAGAACCAAAAGAGGGACCACCAGGGGCCCATACGTTTGAAAAGACGGGCCTGTTGATAGCAGGCGATGAGGAATTGAATCAGTGACATGAAGACGTCCAGAAATACGGTGATACTTAAATATATTCATTAAAGCGAAAATTTAAATTTTTGGATCGTTTGGATCCGTCTGGACCTAGATTTCCTACCTCAAAGCAATCACCCATCTGGTGGATACGGTCCCTTCCCGTAATGCGTCTATGTCTTCGTCGTTTTGTTCTGGGTCAAAATCTAAAAATCAACCTTGTTGAGGCTTTTGCCAAAGAACAAACCAATTTCCAAATGCTTAAAAGCTCCAATCGGATTGTGCTTCCGGATGTTCCATGTCACCAGCGCGAACATAGTCACCATACGTAGCATATTTAACAATAGATCGATCGCATCGGTCAACAGTTTGCGTCTAATTTTATAATTTTTTTCAAAACCGGTGTAGTTGCCTTCGCTCTTCCTCCGCCTTCGCTTCAAGCTCCCTTCGAACTCGTTGCCTAACCCTTTTCCGCAAATTCCTAGCGTCTCGCTTCTCACGTCGCTTCGATCTCCTCTCTTCAGTCATGTCAAACATATTTGAGTAATTTGGATAGAGTGGATATGTTCTAGGTGTATCTAAAAAAAAATTAGTACATCGAAAGTTGACTTACCATTAACTTCAACAACCAATGGACGTCCTTCCTCTAGCTTTTTCTCGTCTTCGGGAGCCGTCACCCACTTGTAAATCCCTTTAATAGCATCCCACTTCTTAACTAAAATTGATACGGATTTAAGTATATTAAATTCTCTCACTTTTCTTCTTATGGCCCTCAGTTGAAGAATCATTTTCTTCTTCCTCTCCTTCTTGTTTTGGTAGTAAAATATCTTCAGCTTCTGAAACCAACGGTATATCGGTAAGCTAAAATTTGCTTACTATTCTTCAAATCTTGATATTTTGTTCTCACAACCTGTCGTAGGTTTGCAGCTTTAAAACCGGTTTTCTTGTTTGGATCTGCGAGGCCCCTTAAATCAGTTATTAAAACCAGAAATTTTTTTTGCATACTGCTTGATTAGTTCTTCTACTTCACTATCGGTGCTAGAAGCACTAGAGAGCTCTGGTTCTTCGGTTTTGGAAGCTGCTGAAGCGAGTGTCTAAAATCAAGCTCCAGCAAAAGTTAATTATTCTTACCGCTAGTCGCTCGGCTTTTTCTTTTGCCTGAAGTTTCATGCTTCGTCGGAGAGCTCGATTCTTCAGCTCTTTCTTTTCGACAGTTTCGATGCGTCCCAATTCCACTTCAGATTCCGTGGCATTCCCCAGGCCATAGATCATCATATAAATTTCCTAAGCAAATTTAAGAACTATCTTGCCAGAATTTATACCTTTATACTATACGCCTTATGTGTAGTGCATCTTCTAGTCACCAGATTCCACCAGATAACTTTGTAGTTTTCTCTCCGCAAAGCTCGAAAGCAAATGCAGAGGAATAAATGCATCCAAAACCATAGCAGGTCAAATGATTTCCAATAGATTACATAGACACATTTGATCTGCAAAATTTCGGGGTTTTTCTTTGCATGTAAACCCGTTGTTATTCTACTGGGTGGGGTAAAGATTCGCCTAAAAGGAATGGAAAGGATGGGGACCGACCTTGAATGCAGCCAACCAGTTGAAATGGGCGAGAAAGGCAACGAATGAGCGGAAAACCGTCCAGAAAACAAATCCAAAAAACATGACTGGGTGATTAGTGGACGAGAATTATGGCGCGGAACGGCATCTGAAATCTGAAAATTCCGTTATTAACCAGATTTTTGCAAAAATGCAAACATCGAGCCTTCAGAAACTCTGCGATTTTGCTAAATAAAATTGGGGTGAGCTTAAATTTGCGATAATTTTATAAAAAGCCATAGAGACGTTTAATAGTGAAAAAACGATAATTTTAAGATTTCCAGGAACAAAAAAGTGAGTTTTTTGAAAAAAATTGGATTCGGTCAAATTTAAAATAAATAATGTGACTTGTGGCAGCTGACGGGTCGTTAAAAATCGAGCGGTATGATGAGACGAGGTGTGCGGTTTCCCAGGATGCACAAAGAGATGAGTCATGGGGGGGAAGAGCTGCGAAGGTTATTTGTACAGAAGTGAAATTTCAGGGCTATGAACCCTTACAGACCAAACAAAAATCTTGACTGCTGCATAAAAACTGCCGAATTTTTTACTATAGTTAGCACCTTGCAAAAATATGCTAATTAAAAAATCTTATATGAGATCCGCTCAAGCTTTGAATTTTTAATTAGATAGAAAAAGAGAGATCTAAATAGAAACAAATCTAAATAGAAGTGATTTTGAAGAAGGCAAAGTTTGTTGGGCGGAGTCGCTGGTGCAAAATTATGCTAATTTTATAAATTTTAACAAATGAATTTGTCGCTAGTGAACCTTTCCTCTTAAAAATTGGATTTTATCGTCAATGATTGAGGCGATTCTTATTCCACTACATGTTTACTTTGTATATGCATGACGGGCCCGGGTCCAAAAAATTCGGGCGCATAGAATCGAATTGTAATAGGGGTGGCTTGAAAGAGAGAAGGGCTGGTGAGTCAGCTGAGAGGGGCGCCCGGGCCCTGTTCTCGCGAGTCGCCTTTTTGCCCAATGCTGCCGAAAAATGGAAAAATAGGCCCGGTGTGTCGGGCGTTGGGACGAGGCAGCAACCAGGCAGACCCACAACCCTTCACCCAATAGCAGAGGTATCCTATGTGTGTTTGCGAGCCGATTTTAGGGCACTACCTGGTCGGTAAGGCGGTCTGGGAGTCGCGGATTTTACCTATGGTAGACTAGAATTAAGTTTCAGAACAAGAAACATTATTTTTTTTGATTTTTGGTAGATTAGTGAATTATTACTATCAACAAGGAAAACCAGCACCTACTTCTATTTCGGACAGGAACGGAATGTTGTACTGTTTAGTCTTTGCGCTTTCCCGGATCCTCCCACATTCATCAATTCATTAGCTACCGGCTCGTCCCGCGCGGATGATCAAATACCCTTTAATTTACATAAAAATCCGTCCAACGAAATCCTTAAAACCTGTTGATTCTCCACGCTTCCCAGTGCAGTAAAACGTTTATAATATAAAAACAAGGTTCTAGCCTCCATATGCAAATTTTCATAAATGGAATTTGCTAAACCCGAATTTAATGGAAAAGCCAATTTCCATAAAGTTTCACCTTCTAAACCTCCAAATTTCCCCCAGATTCCGTCCAGAAAATCTCTAAAACCGGTTGATTGCTATCCTAGAACCCCACCCGCCTGTTGACAGGCCGTATCGCAAAATCTATTGTGAGAAGCGGCGATGAGCGGCCGAAAATAAGCGATATGAGTGGTGGGTGTGGGTGGCGGAGGGAGGGAGGGTTGCAATCGAGGAGGAACAGCATAGCATCGGCGGCTAAGCAATGGCATGGGGAGTGGCACGCACTGGCCATAAATCTGAAACGAGGTTTTGACCCCCCGCGGAAGCGAGGAAGGGGCAGGCAACATTCTTAGTAGTATAGTTATCCTATCCTATAAGCGAGAAAAGTATGTGTGTTTTCTGTACAGCCGATTTCTCGGCCGTCACGCCGAATTTCCGGCTGATTTTTGGCATGGAGGTGGAGAAACACATTTGTCAGTGACGCATTTTTTTGTTTTTCGAAATTCCTTCATTTAACGATTTTACAAGCAAAATAGTGCAAAATCCTTAACAACTTGGCAGAAAAAAAAGGTTTGTTCAGAGGATATCTCTCGAGCCAAATGGAATTAGGCGCTAATTTTTGGAGGGCAGATTGAAAATTACATTCTCCTGTGATATAATTCTGGGTTTTGGCAGATTTTGTAATCTAAAATTTTTATGAGCATTTTTCCAAAAGGTCCTTAACAAAATGGGCCAAGAGCCGTGGTGTCCGGGGCATAACTCGAAGCCCTGATGGAATTCCGGGCTGAAATTTAGACCATTTAGGCAATCAAAAGTGGGGATCATGCGCATCTTATTATCTTTACAATTTTTCAGCGGATTGTGACTCAAAAATGGAATTTTGTAAAGTGGCCAGAAGGCCTCCCGCCCGGGGCATTTGGTCGGCCCTCTGTTTGCCTCCCGCCCCTCCCCAGAACGGAAGAGGCCTTTGCCGCCCCCTGTCCCCATGTGCCTCTTGGTGTATGGGGTTAGCTCCCGGGCTACCACGCGGAAGGACATAGGTTCGGATCCTGGGCCAAGTTGGCTTTTTGCTTTTTGGTAGTTTAGCAAGCAAAACATCGTTCTATGATATCGCATGCGAGGTTTAGGCCTGACCCTCGATCTAGCGCCGCAGGCCGAAGAAAAGGTCTTTGACCCAGGCTCTCGCGCCGCAGGCCTAGGATGGGTCCTTGATCTAGGCTCTTGCGCCGCAGGCCAGATCCTGGAGAACAACCAGTAATTAGCGCCGCAGGCAAAAAGTTTCTAGCGCGAGGTTTAGGCCTGGCTCTGGCTCTAGCGCCGCAGGCCAAAGAAAGGGTCCTTGATCCAGGCTCTCGCGCCGCAGGCCAAAGGATGGCTCCTTGACCAACGTACTTGCGCCGCAGGCTAAAAAAAGGAAGGTGTTCAAATTCATGGTTCCTGGACGGGGTCCAGTGGAAAAGGGCCGCGAAGCGGTCTTTTTCCACTGGTCCTACTATATATAAAAAAATCATAGCCTACATAACGGGAGAGAGGCAGCCTTTTTCATGATTTCTGATCGCAATTCGGGCGAATTATGCATAGTGCAGAATTTCATGGTTTTGGGACGGGACCAGGGTTGAAAAGTCGCGAAGCGGCTTTTCAAGACTGGTTATAATATAATTTTGGCGTGTAACTGTCGTTGTGTGTGCGGTGACGGTCAACCCTTCTGTTTCCGATGACGTTCTCAGAATTTCGATAAAATATAAGTTTACAAAGTTTTATTCATTTTATTGGGTCGGGGAGGGCTAATTTGCATAATATGAAAAAAATACAAATTTCCTCATTGTTGCGGGTAGCACGCGCGCGCGTGGTCGGGGGTCCGCTGGACCCGAGCGATTAGACAGTCAAATTCCTCATGCAAAGACAACATTCCAGCACCCAAGGCCCGGGAAGCGGATTTTGGGCGCTGGCATTGTGATTAAAGTGGATATGAAGTTCCACAGTTTTTATCACAAATTTGGAAAAATCGTTTAAAAAATTTTGGACATTCAAAGGCAACTAACGTCTTCGGGTCTATCTGCATGATACAAAACATACGAACTACAAAAAAAAGCAAATCAATTGACGCTGTAGATCCGGGAATGCGTTTATAAATTGGAACTGGAATGGCGCCCGGTTGACCAGCCGTGGATACGAGGTCGCCCTGGATTTGAGCCTAATTGATAAAAGGTGACATTTGTGGGAGAATGGTTCTTGATCGTTTGCGATATCTATCAAGGAAAGATCTTTAAATTTAGTTATAAAATTTGGGGTGAGCATTAAAATCATTCAGTAGAGATTATTCATTATATCTTGCTTTTGAAGCTATCGGGGATTTAAACTTATTTAATGCTTGTCTAACCAAAACCTTAGGTACCGCCTGTCTACTCCGTCCATCGGCTTCACAATTTTGCATTCTAGTCCCCAAAACCCCTTCAAAACCACAATACTCCCTTCCAAAAACGTAAAAAAATTAATTCGTCTTATTGTCGCTCCATCCATCCGACAATGTCCTTTTCATCATCTGGACTCATCCAAAATTGTTCCCAACCCTTTTTCAACCCTCCTCATGAAATGATGAGGATGGCATGGGTCCAGATGCGGAACACCTTCTCAGCTACACACACCTCACCGTCGAGATAGTGATGGATTAGCGGCCGTGGACTTTTCAAAGGCCAATCTGCCGTGGAGACAGCCCCCGACGCCGTCTGTGTGACATCCCTCATCGCCGATGCACTCCACAAATTATTGCAGTCTATTTATGGCGGGCACCAGGCTGAATTTATACTTCATTCCAGCGGCCGGTCCCCCGGTGGCTACATCATTTTTTGTACTAGTTGTCATAGGGTTTTTTGGAGGATAAAGCGCAAGCGGTAGGTTTTCAAAAAAAAGAGTTATATATGGAGTTGTTAGCCATTAATACCTTTACTTTACAATAATTAATACCACGAATACCTTCTTTTGATGATCTACTGCCGAACTTCCGGACCCAAAATGTTGCACCTGTAAGTGGACCCGGGCCCATCCATCCATTCGGCGGCCCTCTCACTCTTTTCGGGGCCAAAATTTGTGCAATATGCGGGCATTGCTGGGTTGGGGCCCGAACGGGAAGCGGACCCTCCATTCATAATCATCTTCCTGGACTTGGCTTAAATTTCAGCATGGATGCTATCCCGTGGATGGGGGTGGGGGAGTGAGGGTTGTCTGACCATTTCTGATCGAGTTCTTTAGCTTAGTAAAGAATTTTTAGCCTTTTAATATTATAGAAAAACCCGGCACTTTCTGAAATCTGGATAGCATCAATTTTAAAGTCGAGACTCATTTCTTATAAGAGCATTTCCAAATAAAATAACCTTGGAGGTTTTAAAAGTTTAGCTGTTATGACAAGTCTCACCATTTTTGATCAAGTTCTTTAATTTCGAAAGATTACCGCATTCTAACGTTACAAAAGGATTCCGATTTCCTGTAAACTCTGGATTGAACTACTTTTTAAACTAAAAGTCTATTTGATTTTTAGCTAATGTGTCCTATAGC